AAGCCAACACCTTAAAAGATTTGAAGGACATTGTCATTTATTCATTTATTCCAGCTTTACACCAAAATCTTCTTCTCACCCTAATGGACATGAATGGAACTGAGATGCCTTCGCAAACCATGTGCCAAAATTTTTCCCAAGTTATATCTAGTCCCCCCCCCCCAAAAAATATATATATGAGGGCTTCACAAATCCAGAAGTAAACTGTAATGATTTTTGTTGCTATTAGAAACACACATTTTATTTTATTTTTAAAATTATTTTCAGCAGCCTAATCTATGTTGTACTATTGTGATTCTAGGCTCTTTTAAAATTGGCCGGTGAGGTCAGCTTGACCCAGGAGAAGCCATTTTGTAACCCATTTCTCCACCTCTCTTTCCAACTCTATCATTTTCTTTGTTCCTTTTCTAGGTCAGGTGAATGTTTCCTCTTTGTTTCCACTGCATTCCAATTTCAACAAAAAAAAAAGTGGTATTTATGTGGCAGGAGGTGACAATCTTAATCAATTCCACAGATTACAGACCTTGGTTGCACATGGCTCTGCTGCTCTACGAAGCAGAGCAAAAGCAACAGCAAACATAATCAAAGCAAATTTGTACCTTGGAAAAAAAATCAAGGAAAAGAGGTGTGATAGGAAGCTAAATGAATAACTCAGTTCATGTTGCAATGCCATGTTGCTGTCATTTTCCTGCATTTTCCAGCAGAGAAGCCAGGCATAAAATTCTTTTATTAGAAATTGTAACCAGTCACTTTGTCAAGGCCTAAGATACTTTTATTGTATTTCACATATGTGTTTTCATTGAAAGCTGTAATTTCAAGAGTATATGGATGTACTTTATGCACCTATGAAAAATTTGTATAATTATTAAACCCATTTCTATTATTTTTTTTAAAAACTACCATGCTGCGTTATCCTTTTTTTTTTTTGCCTCCCTTTACTAAGACAATTATTGTATATACTGCAATACAATTATTATCTGAATGTTTTTCTACTCTATTAATATGAGGCATATACTTGGTAAGCTAGCAGGAATTTTCATAAAATCACTTAATGTAATAATGTCCATAGAGGCTAGACTGGAACATGTCTATGTCTATAACTGGATGGCAACCCATCTGCGTTCATCTGAAGAGGAGTGAGGTGATGAAATGGATGGGAGGCATGCTACTCTTTAGCTCCAATCTGTGATAGTGTGGCTGCCATCTGCACTACTTCAAAATGCAGTGGGTAAAGACAAAGGGCATTATATTGCAGCTGTTTGTTGCAGTTCAGAAAGATGGGCTTTCCAAAGCCCAGGACCGTTGATGCTGAACCGTGATGCCAGCTGGTGATTTCATAGAGTGATTCTTTCTGTGCTAGTTGAGTAAGCCACATAATGATCAACAACAGCAGCAACAAGGATAGCGGGTATGCCAAAGTCTAGAGAACTTGAAACTTGATATGGACATGAAAGGACTCTTAACTTGTGCACCTATACATTGTTTGGTTTTAAAAATGCATTAATTAAAGCTTCATGTAGGTGTACAATGGCATGTTCAGTTGCTAGATGATGATGATAATTTTATTTCTTACCTGCTTCTCCTCATGGCTTGGGTGGGTTACAGCATATCTAAAAACACATAATATTTATTTATTTATTTATTTACTTCACTTATATACCGCTTTTCTCAGCCCTTAGACTGAGAATTATATAAACCACACATATTAATCATCAGTAACCTGGATCCAAACCATGTAGGGCTTTAAAGGTTAAAACAAACACCTTGTACTTTGCCCAGAAACTAATTGGCAGCCAGTGGAATGACTTTAGGATACATATAATATGCCCACTCCTGGATGTTCCTGTAACCAATCTGGCTGCTTTATGTTGAAACAAGTGGACTTTCCAAACTTGTTACAAAGGTAGCCCAATGTAAAGCACATGGCAGAAGTTCAGCCTTGAGGTTACCAGTGCACGCATTACCAGCTTCAGGTCCTCCAAATCTGGAAGGGGCACAGCTGGCATATCAGCTGAAGCTGGTAGTAAGCACTCCTGACTGTTGAATCTATCTAGGCTGACATTTGGAGAGATGGTTCCAGGAACACTCCCAAGTCTTTCAGGGGGAGTGTAACTCTACCCAGAACTGGTTGACACACCTTCATCCCCAGATTAGGACTCTTAATGGCAAGCACCTCCATTTTCTCTCTCTCTGGCATTCATTCAGAGGAGACACACTATCCTTAACTAGGAAGGAATGGAGAAATATATTTGGGTGTCATCAGCATACTAGAAAAGCAAGCCACAGACCACCCACTACAATACAACTTGAGCCCTGCCACATGCACAACGGGAGACCTTCTCACAGTGACACCAAAGACATTTTCATGGTTTCCTCCTTTCTGTTGAAATTGTCCACATGCTTGTGTATTTCAGTGGCTTCTCTGTGTAGTCTGACATGGTGGTTGTGAGAGTGGTCCAGCATTTCTGTGTTCTCAAATAAAATGCTGTGTCCAGGTTGGTTCATCAGGTGCTCTGCTATGGCTGATTTCAACAAAAAGGAGGAAACCATGGAAATGAACAAAATCTGGCTACCAGTATTAAAAAAAAACTCTAAAATTACAACAGCACAACAACAGAGAGGAAACAAACAAGGACATATAATCACCTCTCAACAAAAGTTTTCTCTAGGCACTGTCAGGCCATTATATGCTAATCATGGTGCTCAGTTGAAACATTCACACCTAGCTCCAGCAGACAAGAGTCCTTTGTCTCACCAGCGTCATTCCACAGATATATAGATCCTTTTTCCTAGTTCTAACAGACCTCACCACCTCTGAGGATGCTTGCCATAGATGCAGGCGAAACGTCAGGAGAGAATGTCTCTGGACCATAGCCATATAGCCTGAAAAAACCTACAACAACCCAATACCAATAATGTAATACCAATACACTGCAGAGAAGGCGCCAAAGTGGCTGAGACTTTTCCAAGCCTGCCTTATTTCCTTTGGAAGGGCATTCCAGAGGCAGGGGGCCACCACTGAGAAGGCCCTCTCTCTCATCCCCACCAACCGTGCTCGGAAACTTATTGGCAGCCAATGATGCTGTCTTAATAGGGGCGTTGTATGCAGGGGCGGCTCAACCCATTACGCAAAGTAAGCATTTTCAGTATAGTTGATTTTTCCCAGGGGCGCTCTTGAGGCGCTCTTGGGGGAAAATAGACCTTGACATATGCGAGTTGTAGTTACTGGGATGTATAGTTCACCTAAAATCAAAGAGCATTCTGAACTCCACCAATGATGGAATTGAACCAAATATGGCACACAGAACTCCCACGACGAACAGAAAATATATATCAGTGATTGGTTGGGGGGGGGGGGGGCGCCAAAATACTGTTTGCTTGTGTTGTTGTTCATTCGTTCAGTCGTCTCCGACTCTTTCGTGACCTCATGGACCAGCCCACGCCAGAGCTCCCTGTCGGCCGTCACCACCCCCAGCTCCTTCAAGGTCAGTCCAGTCACTTCAAGGATGCCATCCATCCCTCTTGCCCTTGGTCGGCCCCTCTTCCTTTTGCCTTCCACTTTCCCCAGCATAATTGTCTTCTCTAGGCTTTGCTGTCTCCTCATGATGTGGCCAAAGTACTTCAACTTTGTCTCTAGTATCCTTCCCTCCAGTGAGCAGTCGGGCTTTATTTCCTGGAGGATGGACTGGTTGGATCTTCTCGCAGTCCAAGGCACTCTCAGCACTTTCCTCCAACACCACAGTTCAAAAGCATCTATCTTCCTTTGCTCAGCCTTCCCTAAGGTCCAGCTCTCACATCCGTAGGTTACTACAGGGAATACCATGGCTTTGACTAGGCGGATCTTTGTTGCCAATCTGATGTCTCTACTCTTTACTATTTTATCGAGACTGGACATTGCTCTCCTCCCAAGAAGTAAGCGTCTTCTGATTTCCTGGCCACAGTCTGCATCTGCAGTAATCTTTGCACCTAGAAATACAAAGTCTGTCACGGCCTCCACATTTCTCCCTCTATTTTCCAGTTGTCAATCATTCTTGTTGCCATAATCTTGGGTTTTTTTATGTTTAGCTGCAACCCAGCTTTTGCGCTTTCTTCTTTCACCTTGATTAGAAGGCTCCTCAGCTCCTCCTCGCTTTCGGCCATCAGAGTGGTGTCATCTGCCTATCTGAGGTTGTTAATGTTTCTTCCAGCAATTTTCACCCCAGCTTTGCATTCATCAAGCCCCGCACATCGCATGATGTGTTCTGCATACAAGTTAAAAAGGTTGGGTGAGAGTATGCCTTGCCGTACGCCTTTCCCAATCTTGAACCAGTCTGTTGTTCCGTGGTCAGTTCTTACTGTTGCTACTTGGTCCTTGTACAGATTCCTCAGGAGAGAGACAAGGTGGCTTGGGATGCCCATCCCACCAAGAACTTGCCACAATTTATTATGATCCACACAGTCAAAGGCTTTAGAATAGTCAATGAAGCAGACGTAGATGTTTTTCTGAAACTCCCTGCCTTTCTCCATTATCCAGCGGATATTGGCAATCTGGTCTCTCGTTCCTCTGCCTTTTCTAAACCCAGCTTGAACATCTGGCAACTCTCGCTCCATGTATTGCTGGAGTCTTCCTTGCAGGATCTTGAGCATTACCTTACTGGCATGAGAAATAAGGGCCACTGTACGGAAGTTTGAGTAGTCTTTCGCATTTCCCTTTTTTGGTATGGGGATATAAGTGGATTTTTTTCAGTCTGATGGAATACACTGTTTTAAATTGAGCTGGTTTTGATTCTGTTGTTGCTGTTCGTCTGGGGCTGACAGAGAAGGCGCCAAAGTGGCTGAGGCTTTTCCAAGCATGGGCGCGCGACCAACATGACTGGGGAACTATCCCCGTTCTGGCAAAGCGCGAAAAGAAACAGACCAATGAGAATGCCAAGAGAGCGCGAGCCAGGGAGCGCGAGCTCCAATCCAGCACCTCCCGGCGCGCGGACAGCGGTCCTGGCCCCGCCCCTTGGGCATTACCTCAGCCGACCAAAAGGGGGCGGAGCCGTCTTCCTCCTGGCGCCGCCTTTCTTCTCAGCTAAGCATCTCTCTGTGTGTCTCTCTCGAGCGCCTCACGTGACCTAACAGGTATCTCGCTCCTTCCTCGCGCCATCACCCCCCTCCCCCGCCAGCGCGCGAGACCACTCTAAAACGCCTAGGACCAAGGTCTGTCTAGAGCTGCTTTGACGCCCGGGGGGCGGGAGGGCGCGGTTGGGAACAGCGAGAGAGCGCGAGTTTCTATAGCAACGCTCCCCCCTCCCCTCCCGTTCTCCTAACCGTTGAAGGTGGTGACAATGGAGGTCGTGTGGGGAGAAAGGCCTGGCCGTTTGTGAGGGGCGACAACTAGAGAGAGGGGACGGCTGGCAGGAGGGGCTTAGTGAGGAGGAATGTTCTCCCGTCTCCCAACCCACAAAATAATAATAATATGAAATCACAAAAGGAGTATTTTGACCTTGAGGTGTCGACGTCATAGGTCAGTACCTTGGAGGTTCCTTTCTCCTAAGGTCAGGGAGCTTTAGGAAAGAAAAGGCCTCGTTTCCAGTTGCAGGCTGAGGCCTCTTCCACACAGCTGTATCAAATCCCCCATGATCTGCTGTGAACTGGAATATATGGCTGAGAGGAGATATGATAGCCATGTATAAATATGAGAGGAAGCCACAGGGAGGAGGGAGCAAGCTTGTTTTCTGCTTCCCTAGGATGCAAAACAATGGCTTCAAACTACAGGAGAGGAGATTCCATCTGAACATGAGGAAGAACTTCCTGACAGTGAGAGCCGTTCAGCAGTGGAACTCTCTGCCCCGGAGTGTGGTGGAGGCTCCTCTTTGGAAGCTTTTAAACAGAGGCTGGATGGCCATCTGTCAGGGGTGATTTGAATGCAATATTCTTGCTTCTTGGCAGAATGGGGTTGGACTGGATGGCCCATGAGGTCTCTTCCAACTCTTTGATTCTATGATTCTATGGCAGTGTGGACTAAGATAATCCAGTTTAAAGCAGACATTGTGGGATTTTCTGCCTTGATCTTCTAGGCCAGGGGTCCTCATACTTTTTAAATAGAGGGCCAGGTCACAGTCCCTTAAACTGTTGGAGGGCCGCATTATAATTTGAAAAAAAATGAATGAATTCCTATGCACACTGCACATATCTTATTTGTAGTGCAAAAAACACTTAAAAACAATAAAATAATTAAAATGAAGAACGATTTTGACAAATATAAACTTATTAGTATTTGAGTGGGAAGTGTAGGCCTGCTTTTGGCTGATGAGATAGGATTCTTGTGTGCTTTCAAGTCGTTTCAGACCTAGGTTGACCCTGAGCAAGGGCCGAGTAAATGACCTTGGAGGGCCGTATTCGACCCCCGGGCCTTAGTTTGAGGATGCCTGTTCTAGGCTATATGGCTGTGTGGAAGGGCCCCAAGAGCTGTCTTTGCCTGCTGAATATAATTGGGAACAAGGAATGATAATGGTGATGGGCCTCAGTGGATGTTGCCTAGCCTGGTATGTAATCTGAATGGATGGGGTCAACTCTGCTTTGCAAGATCCATAAATTCTGTATTGCACATTGCACTTACCCTAAAATCCTACATCCACCTGTCACACCCAGCACTTTTTAATCTGTACCCATTACATTTGGCCCGGCCCTAGTTTTATTGTGTTATGGTGTATTATTTTTTATTGTTTACTGCTATTGTTTTATTTTTTGATTTGCTTTAAGTTATGTGTTTTTGTTATGCTGTTGTTTTATTGAGGTCTTGGCCTGTGTAAGCCGCATTGCGTCCTTCGGGAGATGCTAGCGGGGTACAAATAAAGTTAATAATAATAATAAATAATAATAATTTAATCTGGTTGGGCTGTGTATCCGATTGAGTGATACAGGCCCCATCCAATTGCCCCATATGAACTTCCCCAGGCCCATTTCATACAGGTGTATAAAATCCTCATTGAACTGAAATATATGACAGTGTGGACTAAGGCCCTTTCCACACAGCCAGAATATCAAGGCGGAAAAACCCACAATGTCTGCTTTGAACTGGTTTATCTGTGTCCACACTGCCATATATCCCAGTTCAAAGCAGATAATGTGGGATTTTATTCAGCTGTGTTCAAGGGGCTTTAGATAACCCAGTTCAAAGCATATATTGCGGATTATCTGACTTGATATTCTGTGTTATATGGCTGTGTGGAAGGGCCCCTAGACTCATCAATACATGCTGAAAAGAGATCTCCTTGTGGAGAGAAAAAGCTGGATATAAATAAACAGAATAATAATAAATAGATGAGGCAGGGGTATATAATGGGCCAAGATACGGTTGTATATGGTAGAAAGGCAGCACATTTATTAGATGACTTTTATAGGACTTTGTGTTTGTCTGCATTTGCTTTTATTTTAAAGATATGCCTGGATTTCATACATAATATTTGCATGTTTTATGGTGCGCCGGTATATTTATAAACATTCTAAAATATTGCTATATATGTGTGTGTTTGTGTGCGTGCCAGGTCTGCTTTGGAATTATGCGCCATAATATGATTTGATATATGTTTATTGTATAATTTTTCATCCACTGTTTTCAGAAACTGTTTTCAGAAACACTTTTCTTTAGTTACATGACATTTATTTATTTATTTATTTATTTATTTACTGCATTTCTATGCCACCTTTCTCAGCCTGAAGGCATAGCCTTTGTTCTTAAAACTGATAGTATAAATAAATTTGAGACCCTGCAGTGAATAATGTTGTGTTACACTATTGCTAATAACTTTTGAAAAGAGGCAAACAATATTTTCATGCCTGAAGTTTTATATGGTTTCACGATGCAGTATTTCCTCATATATTTCCTAGCATGAAATTCAGCTTTTTCATCAGAACCATACAGGCATGGAAGTTTTAACTGAACTTTACTACAACCCCAATATCTCATTTCCGAAAAATCATAGCCAGTCCAGATCCTCTCATTGTATAGGTTCTCTTGCTCTTTTGTTTACCTTGAAAGGAAGAATGCAACCCCCATCCAGAACTAGTTGACACGCCTCCAAACCCAGATTAGGACCCTTAAACTTATTTGTCATTTTATTGCTTAACTAAGAGCTGCCTTTGGGGCAATTAGCAATCTGCTTGAGTCTTCATTACCCCGAATAATTTGGGGATATGATATTATAATAATAATAATAATAATAATAATAATAATAATAATAATAATAATTTTATTTCCTACCCGCCTCTCCTTGTGGCTTTTGCAAACATTTTTACAAACATTGTAAAAATTCTATAAATACACATATTAAAATGTGTATCCTTTCCAGCTTTACTCAGTTCAAATCATTTATGGTGCTTCAGTGGCACCACTGTCGATATATTTATCGAGAAATCAGTCCGTTGTGGAAAATATTCCCTTTTTATTCCCTGCTTCCTGATTTTTAAACTAGTTATTGAGTCTTAAGAGAACTAGTCCCAATTGCTATCAATCTTATTTTTGGTAAGTGGTTTAAATACTAATTTTCATGCAGAATTACATTTATGTAAACACAGATTTTGTATCAGTGGATTGCTAGCGTACAGTTAGTTTCTCACAAATATTTCTCCCTTTATTTTTGGATATCTAGTGATCTCTAGCCTTCCCCTTTTTGGGCCTTGAGTTAGGTTACAAAATACACAAAATTCAATATAAGGAAACAAACATATGTTCTATATATGCATATATTATTTAATCTCTTTAAAAGGCAATCTGGCTCATAAAAGAATGATATTGGTAACCCATCATGGTTAATATATCATAATGCTTGTTCAAATTCTGGATTGCTTCACCATGGGATTTCATGGTAAAAAGATATTCAAAGTGGATTTTCCATGCCTCCTTTTCTGTGGTGGTAACAGGCATTAGCTATAGTGCCACTGTTGTTTCTGAGAGATCCTCGACCGGTGTCATCCCACTGCACGCTAACTATTTGACACTCTTAATCTGACTCCTTAATCAGCAAAAGCCTGTCTGACATGGGAGGCTGCACTAGCTGCATTGTTGCCATCAGCATAGACTCTTTCCTCATGCGAACTCTCAGTCCTGCTGTATGGCAAGGTAATGCCATGGTGAAAGTGAAGCAGGTAGTAGTGGAAAATTCCATGTGGAATTTTTTTCATACCAAAAGTTAGCACACAATGAGAAAGTATTAATTTCAGTTCAACTTTAGAAAAACTTGTTAGGTTACTTTCTGAAAACAATCAAAGTAGATTTTCTAAAGTTTTCCTATGGCATTAACTGTCAGCCTGATATATTTAGGATTTTAGTTTCAAGGAATTTATTGACTTATACAGCTGCTTTGTTCCATCTGAATTCAAAAAGAATTAAATCATTCCAAAGATTGTATCTTTGTATCTGAAGGGATGTGTTCTCCTTGAGCAGAGCTCACTAAAAACAAGAGGTGAGATGTAAGCATCAAGTCTCTTTTGACTAGGATTATTACAGTACTGAAGAGTACAGCATTAGAAATACATGTAAGTTGTTCAGCAAGTTTAACACTCTGCAGTTGTTTCTTGCCCCTACTTAAATTTTGCTGCAGGACTTTTAATGTTTGGAAACAACTTTCTTGTTCTGCCGCATTGTCTTGAGTAATGTCAGACCAAGGCTATACGAAATTAGGATTCTTTTTTTAGACAAGTATGTGTCCTTAGGTTCTTGAGTACCTTTGTTGTGTGTGTAAGCTTGTGTTGTATACACAAGGAAATTGTTAGGAGAGAAGAGATTTTCTGAGCAAAATGAATGTGTAACATAAATGAATATGACTCATTCACACTCTGATATGGTTAGCTGTTATTCTTCATGTCTCCATTAATAGAAGAGTTATTCATTCATATAAATTTGTTAATATATTGAATATGAAATGTTATGGTAACAGGAGTGAAAAATGTTTTGACCTTGTGGGTTATCGATCTTGTGAATGGATTATTGCTTAAATGGGGCACTGACACTACTTTACATTTCTAAGAGATTTTAGAAAGCTGACTGATAACTAGGAGAAAAGTATTTTAGTTGTATTGCCTATACTGAAAATGCTGTTAATTTACAATAAAATAGTAATTGAGCCTTTAACTTTTTTAAAAAAAAATACAGTTTATATTCGTAATTATTTATGAAAACTACCCAAAATAATACAAAACAAATACAGATATTTACTTGTCAAGTGAAAAATAGGCCACAGATATTTAAACATATGTAAATAAAACTTTTTCTAAAATAAACCACAGACAGATGGTTTGAATGCTAACTAATGGAGAAGAAAGCATTGCATAAAAGGCACTTTCCTATGTCCTTTTTCAGTGCCATGCATTTCCGAAATAAATATATAGGATTCTGGAGAGTGAGGGACCTGTTTTGAACATTACAGGATGGGGTACCAGCAGATTGGACCAGCTGTAAATTGGACAGAGGCAAGTAGTAGGGTGTTGATTCACAGAAGGTTTCTGACTGATTTTGTGCAGTTCCTTCAACAGTTCTGTGTGCTGTGCTGGAGGGTTCACTTACCCTTTGGAAGGCACACACTTTTGAAATGAAGTGAAAGTGGAAGAGATGGGACAGTTTTCATTTCCTTGGTCCATTGCAATGTAATTTTCTTTCGACACAAATTACATAAACCACATTGAATAAAAATAACACTTTTCATATATCTGCTCCTTTCCACCAGATGCAGCCATGATGTAATGTTGCCAGTTGTAATATTAGTTCACTTTATAAGCAAGGTTATACTTTTTCAATTATTATGTAAAACCAACTATTTTTCAAAGCTAAAATCCTGTATGTTTTCAATTCTATCTTATTTTCAAGATGGCAGTTAGTCCGCCCACAGCTGGCAAGCAAAACCTGGGGTGTGTGGAGGGATTTGAAGGTCCCAGATTTGGTGGGGACAGTTGGCTCCACTGGTCCCAATTACGTGATAGGGGAGGAGCTGCAGACTATTTACGGCTGCTCCATTGTTCTGGAGATCATTTTTGCAGGGATCCCAGTTGCTAAGATTATTTTTGGTTGTTTTTCTTAAAAATGGAAATTGCATAGTATCTCAGCAGCCAAAAAGACTGGTGTAATAGACAGTATAGGAGGAAACAAAAACTTGAAGGAAGTGTAAGTGGAAACTATGGAGATTTAGGGGAAAAGGATAGAGGCGACTGAGAGAAGAGGTGCAGACCTGAGACTTGTTATTGCTTTGAAGTATGAGAATAAAACCTGCAACCATAAGAATTGTCTGAATGTATTTTAATGATTTCATTGCAATTTTTACTAACACAGCAGCCTTTCTATGTAAGATTAAATGCCCAATTGAGCAGTCATTCTGTTCCTACAGTGACCAGTCAAATATTTTGTGACACCTACAAGGAAAATATTGTATAGTTTAGCTGTATGCTATTAGGAGAGGCACTTAAAAAAACTTAGAACATTGCTATCATAGTACAGCTATCTTTTGATAATTAATATATTGACAGCCTGTGACAAAGCAAATTATATGTAACTACTGCCATGGTGTATGCCATTGTGTGAAATATTTGTACATGGTTAAAAATGGCAAAAATCTTCCCGTTATTGCTATATAGCTGTTTCAGATCCTGACATCTTGATGCTCAGAATGAATATTCAAAATGCTATGAAGTAGGAATAAAAATGAGACAATTTCTTTAGCATTCTTGTGATCGCCTTTTTTTTGCTGGTGCTGTTTTGATATATCACTGCATTTTAAAAAATCATGCCACAGGTATGAAAATGACATAAATGTGATATGCAGTATAACTGTAAAACCAGTCATAATATGACAGGTTTTTTTAAAATCTAATCTGTAATTGTGAAAGTCTTCTAGTAGCTAGCACTGTGATACAATAAACTTCAGATTTTATGTAATGTTGTGTGATATAAGATTGTATTGCTGTAACATTTACTGGAAATTTAGAAATACACTAGAGATTAAAAGAGAGCAATGCCAGCACTGTTGTCTTGAAGCATTCATACAAATACTGATAATTAGCTTTCAAGCATAACTTCCTGACCTGTAGGAAGCTTTGTATTAATAACTCTTCTTAGAATTAGTAAATCTCACTAGTAAGGGACTGGCTTTTGCCATCAGAAAAAGATGTTGTGTTTTGATGTATGTTATGTTAAAAAGACCTATGAAATGGATGCTTTTCCTAATTCTTTTCAAATATTTTGTTTCCACAGAAAGATCTACAAAATAAGAAAGTATGAGCCACTTACGACTGATTGCTGCTACCCTGAAATATCGTGGCATTTGTTCATTGGTGGAGAAAAATGTAAACAGAAGAGTATTTCTGCAGAGTCGGAATTATGCTTCAACTGGAGTGACAGAACCTTTCTTGAGTGGAACTAATTCAAGTTATGTTGAAGAAATGTATTATGCATGGCTTGAAAATCCCAAAAGTGTGCATAAGGTAATGTTGTGTATGCATGGAGATCCAGGAATGCATAAACTCTGTATGTATTGTTAAACCTGAAAGTTGTCACAGGTAATAGATTCAACATTCTTGAGCAGAGTTAATAGAATGGGGAATCTCATGTTTTTTTCCCCCTTCCCAGCCTTATCAGTAATTTCTTGCAATTTCCAGCATTTTGGCAAACCTTCCTGCTTCTCAGACCTTTGGGTCAAAAGGTTCCTGATGTCATACCCACTTGTGACTTGACAGTGGAGCTGAAGCTGGTTTTCTCACATCTTTTTAGAAAGCCTTTTGAGCCCATGGCCTCTTGTGATCTGAGATAGCTTGACTAGAAAACTTTTATTCTTGGTAGCAATCACTTTGGCTAGAAGAGCAGGTGAGCTCTTTTCCCCGTGGGTAGACCAATCTTAGCTGAGTCTTCATAAGGACATAATGGTTATTAGAAATAGTATTAGTTTTTCACCTGAATCAGGACATTGTGTTTCCTGTATTCTTGCAGAATCCCATATCTGGAGAGCTTTTTTCACTGTCCAACACTCTACTGTGTTGAATCAGTGTCTCTCCAGATGTTTTGCAGCAACCATTTGTCTGATCCATGAACTTGCTGGCAAGCAATCTCCTGTCCAAGTGAAGAAGAGGCCACAGAGACCATGAAGAAGTCCCGATAGCTTACCTGTAGCTGTGGTCCTTACTCTGTTCATTTGTGAACTCATATAATTATGCTCATTTTCCCTCATGTCATCCCTCCCCTTATATCATTGGCTGCTGCTTCAGCAACTGCGGTAACTTCTACACTGCCATATAATCTAGATTATCAAAGCAGATAATCCATATTATCTGTTTTAAACTGGATTATATGAGTCTACATTGCCATATAATCCAGTTCAAAGCAGATAATCTGGATTTTATATGGCAGTCTAGAAGGTGCCTGAGTGTTTAAGTCAGAAGGACACTAGTCAGGCATGCAGGGGGTAGTTCCCAACCTTTGCCCCTCCAGGTGTTTTGGACTTCAACTCCCAGGATTCCTAGCCAGTTTACCATCTGTTAGGAATTGTGGGAGCTGAAGTCCAAAACATCTGGAGGAATAAGGATTGGGGATCACTGATCTATATGGCTTATAGAGGAGCTTTGGATAGGTAAAATGATCACTTAATGTAAGTTCTCTGGAACAGAATGTCAGACATATCTACAGCCTGATTCAGTTCAGCTTTTTTTTGAAGCAGGGATTAGTCCACACTAACTGTATTTGGAAATGTGTTGTAGTATCCTTTGAATATTCTGTCTTTATATCATAAGAAAATTACAGTTTCAAGCAGTCTGCTAGGAAGTAAATCCCAAGGAGAAGAAAATCTTTGTAAATAGATGTAGGATTGGTTCATAATTGCCTAGGAACTATCTTTCTCTTAGTTCATCTTTTGAAAGTCCTCTTTGCTTCTCTTACTTTTTCTTGATAATGCTTTGCTCCACTAGTGCAAAGTAGCATCTGAAACAGCTGTTGGAATGTAATGACACAAGCTGTGAGAAAAGTGTCATTATTTTTGCTCTTACAGTGGTGTCAGAGCTATAGATCATAGGGAGGAGATTTGACAAGGCTCTTTTATTGCTATCAAAGATTGATTGGAAAAAAGCCGTGCTAGGTTACCTATCCAGTACGTAACTGTTGTCATGTTGTCTTGTATCCAACCACTTTCCCCTTCATTTAGTGTTCTTGGAAAAGAAGGTTATTTTTCCTTTTTTTCTTTTTTTTAAAATATACTATCTAAGCATGATAATCAGCTGGAACTGGAACTTAAGATAACAGTGTTTGGTTGTTATTGTATATTGTGACAAAAATAATACACATTTAAACAGCTTTTGAGTGGAGACATTGATAGCGGTGCATTTGGTAGTAAAAAAAAATCTGAATATATATATATATATGCACCATTGCATTAGTATGTTTCATTCTTATCATTAGATTTTTTTAAAAAGATCTATATTGCTGTTTTGCAGGGTTTTAAAAAAAATCACATGCATATTAATATTCCACTTAAAGGCCAATATTTCCATTTAAAATGAATGAATGATTCTCCCAGCACATGCTTTAGCTAATTGCTCACTTTACAGTGTGTTGGTCACCTATTTAACATGTATACATGTAGAGCAATAAAACTGAATAGATTTCATCAACATTACGGATCACAGCAAATATAACCTTAATAGTGTTGTGGAACATTTTGATAGCATTGGTTTTTTGTCATTTTCCCCCATTATAATGATGGTTTAGTCATCAGTGTTTCGAGATCTGGGACTTTTATTTAACTGTGGACTGCAGCATGGAACCTCCTTGTAACATTTTCCCCCTTGAAATCCTCAACAAATGTTGCAGTGCAGCTCTCAAAAACAAATTTACAGGGCTCCAGGGAGCCTACATGGGAGACTCTTTGTCCTGTCCCACCATATTAGGTATTGTACCACAGAGGACCGATTCAGTGAGAGTATTCAGACTGCACAAATTATACTGAGTATAGCCCTTTTTCTTATTGATACTATATTACCGTTGGCCTGTACATAGAGTATAGCCTCACTGATAAAGAATAAAGCCTGTTAAGCAGAGAAAGATTTGCATGTGAATAAATGGGCATATGATTTCACTGCTAGATGCAATTAGTTCCCACTGAAATTATAGTTCCAGCTTTTGATCCTAACCTTAACTTAACAAAACATGTTATCTGTGACCTAGGAGTGATACCTTCAGTGATATGAATAGGAAGAATTAGGAATAAAGGATAAGGGATTGAATGTGTAACTTAATACTGTGTTTATTTAAAATTCTTATTGGACTCTCCCTCACTTCTTTCCTTTCTGTACATTTGCTGCCATGAAATCTAGTCTTGGGATTTATTTTTCCGAAATGCTACTTCTGGAGCTCTTCCTGGACAAGCCTATCAAACACCTTTGCCAGACTTTTCAGAAAGTAAAACTTCACTTATCCAAAGCCATGGGCTTACTAAGTCTCCAGGTAAAGCTGAAAAACTGGTTGAAGATCATCTAGCTGTCCAGTCACTGATCCGAGCATATCAAGTAAGTGTTGATACATACATTTTAGCTTATTTATTTATTTATTTATTTATGGGTTAACACTTCCCCAAATGGGTCTCCGATGTAGTTTTGTGCAGAATGTTTTCTTATGAAAGATAGCATAACTAGAAAACAATAAAAAAATCCCACTTCAGGAAACTGCCATTCCATTTTCTCTACCGTAAAATTGACAGTTTTTGAAGGCTGTCCTTCAGGAGCCCTTGGAGAGTGAATTTCCTGCACATACTATTTTCACCCAAAAAAATTAAATATTAGGAAGCATTTTTTGGGAGGCGGGGGAATCCTCTGTAGGGTGGCATTGGGGGAATTTTCACCATGTTTTTGGTCTTCCTGACTCATTTTATGCTTAAGGGAGGCATTATTGTAACAGAAATTGTACAGAAATAACATCTTTGTTCCTTTTATTTTTTTCCAGGGCCTCTATGGACCTAAGTTGGTCCAAGGGGCCCTGGAATAACCTCCAATGCTCCAAAAATGGATTCAAAGGGCCCCCAGACATGATGGAAATGCCCTCGACATCACCTAGAAGTAAGTTTGGAGAATTTTAGGCCCATGCCACAAAAGTGCTCTGGAAGGCTGCATATGACCAGCAGACTGCACTTTGCTGACCACTGCTTTAGAAAAAAGAAATTTCTCTTAAAGAAGTGCATCAAGTGGTCGATCCCATAATATTCATCACTATGAAGGTTAATAGTGAAATGCTCTTGGTCACTTACACTGTTTTTGGAACATTGCTTTGCAACAGTAGTGTGATGGATAAGAAAGCTGTCTTTATTGTGAGAAAAGGCTTTCCTGCCATATTCATAGAGATGACTTCCAATGCCAACCTTGCTCTTGTGGCACCACATTCCTACAGCCACTTTAGCCCTGTGGAATATGCCAGAATAATTTACACTAGCTAACAGGATTAAAGCTAAAGGATATAATATTCTCAAAAAACCCCCCAAAAACACAATTTTGATCCAATATTGGATTAGTGGTTTGTTTTGTGAAACCTTTTCCAAGGTATTTTAAAATTTCTGTGAATAAGCAAAGATGTGACATTATTAAGATAGGAATTTAGGTAATTCACGTGGCATGATTCATCTTATGGTGATATTGCTTTAGGTCAGTTGATGTAAGGTTTTCATCTCACTAGTCACTCTGTCAGAGTACAATAAAAATAGAAAATCCACATTTTCCAAGAAGGGGATTTACAGGCACTGTGTTATTCTGCCATGATACAGCTTTCATTTATATGTATCTAGCCGTCCCCTGCCACGCATTGCTGTGACCTAGTCTGGTGATCTGAAAAATAAAGTAATGAGAAAGGGTTGGTTTCTAATATATGTAATTTCTTTATGCTTGTGGGTAAACAGTGTTGTATCTTGTTGTTTCTTTGTCAGTGTTGATGTAGAAATAGTCTGGTTTGCCTACTCTGGAACATGCAACATATCATTTTCTTTATTCAGAGGTCCTTTTCAAATCTATAATACTATATCTGTGTGTGAATCATATCTGTCCATATATATGGCTGGATGGATCTTTGTCAGGAGGGCTTTGATTATGTTTTCTTGCCCTGGTGAAGGGAGTTGGATTGGATGGCCTTGAGTATTTTCTGTTGGTTATGGGGGTTCTTTGTGGGAAGTTTGCCCCAATTCTGACATTGGTGGGGTTCAGAACGCTCTGATTGTAGGGGAACTATAAATCCCAGTAACTACAACTCCCAAATATCAAGTTCTATTTTCCCCAAACTCCATCTGTATTAATATTAGGGCATATGGAATATTCGTGCCAAGTTTGGTCCACAGTCATCATTGTTTGAGTCCATGGTGCTCTCTGGATGTAGGTGTACTACAACTCCCAAACTCAAGGTCAATGCTCATTCTAGTGTTTTCTGTTGGTCATGGGAGTCCTGTATGCCCCGTTTGGTTCAATTCTGTCATGCTATTTGATTGTAGGTGAACTATAAATCCCAGCAACTACAACTCCCAAAAGACAAAATCAATTTTTTTGAGTGAAGGACATACATTGGGTTGTTAGGTGTATGCTGTCCAAATTTGGTGTCAATTCGTCCAGTGGTTTATGAGTTATGCTTATCCCACAAACGAACATTACATTTTTATTTATATAGATTACATCAATTTGCAGTGGTATGGTAGGAATTAATGAAAAAGAAAAGTAGTAATTCCACAAGTAGTTGAAAATTGTAATAAAAGTTCAGATTGAGCAACTCTTATCTATATTCCAAAATCCTCCAAAATTGTCCTTATACGGTGTCATCTTTGTTTTCTGATGGTTCAGTCAAATGTCCCATGCAGTACCATACTTTGAATAGTCCCTTACCGTAGCATAGTTGCAAGGTTGAGGTCATAAGATTTTGCATCTCTTCTTGCTTAAAGACAGCTGAACCATTAAACTGGTATTACTGTTTGTTTGAAATAATCCATCTTTAGAAATTATTAGGCCATTTTTCAGTTTTGTATGTGAAAACCATCTGAAAGAAAACACTCCTTATTAAACCAGTCTTTCATACAATGGAGGTGTGACTACAGAGAGTAGGTACCTGTCAGCTGGAAAACATGATTATCCACTTTCTTTTAAGGCTTACTCTTATAGGGATGGCATTTATTTTATAAGTCATTTTCAGATATTGAGGATGAATAGTTACAAACTATGTTTTTTTTTTTTCATAATCTCTGCTGGTGTTTATTTCTGTAGACCAGTGGTTCCCAACCTATGGTCCATGGACCACCAGTGATCCCCAAAAACTAAAATATGGTCCATGGGTTATAAGCCTGTGGGTTAATCATTTATCTTTAAAAATATTTATACTGTACTTTTGGCACTTTAAATTGGCCCATGGTATTGAAGAGCTTTTTTGATATTCTCTCAAGGTTGGAAATGAAGTAGTAAAGTACTAAAGAAACATGAACCTATTCTTCATAAAACTGGTTGAGAAAATAGAGAGGGATTGTTATGTTACCCCAATCACTAGAATCACTGCTGCTGAACAGTTTATCCTGGGCAGTTTATCCTGGACTGGACTATGTTTTTAAAATTCTAAGTGTTTGGCTCATGTTAGTGTAAAAATACAGTGATGAATTTAATTAGCAACAGGGATCCATTAGATTTAATGTGAAACAGACTGTGGAAATAAATAGCCATTCTTATGTTATGAAGATTTGTCATTTCCTAGTAGAATATTGCAATCTTGGGATGACAAGGAGGAACAGCCTACTACTGGTTTAACCCTTGTATTCCAACCAGAATGGCAGGATCCAAGATTCTTTTTCAGTTGAACCACTCAGTCCCTGCACCTTCTCCAACAGTTCTTTCTATCCTGCCTAACCAACTGGTCATGTTTACCCTTCTCTGATAAACTTGTAATGCAAGGGTCTTGTTGTTGTTGATTCATTCAGTTGTTCTGACTCTTTGTGACCTCATGAAGCAGCCCATGCCAGAGCTCCTTGTCGACTGTCACCATCCCCAGCTCCTTCAAGGTCAAGCCAGTCACTTCAAGGAGGCCATCCATCCATCTTGCCCTTGATCGGCCCCTCTTCCTTTTTCCTTCCATTTCCCCCAGCATAATTGTCTTCTCTAAGCTTTCCTGTCTTCTCATGATGTGGCCAAAGTACTTCATCTTGGCCTCTACTATCCTCGTACCCCCAGCCTTGCATTCATCAAGACCCGCACATCGCATGATGTGTTCTGCATACAAGTTGAATATGTTGGGTGAGAGGATACAACCCTGCCGTACGCCTTTCCCAATCTTGAACCAATCTGTTATTCTATGGTCAGTTCTTACTGTTGCTACTTGGTCCTTATACAGATTCCTCACCAAGAACTTGCCATTTATTATTATTCACACAGTCAAAGGCTTTAGAATAGTCAATAAAACAGAAATAGATGTTTTTCTGAAATTCTCTGCCTTTCTCCATTATCCAGCGGATATTAGCAATTTGGTGTCTTGTTCCTCTGCCTTTTCTGAACCCAGCTTGTACATCTGGCAACTCTCACTCCATGTAAGGGTCTTAGTAAGGATAAATAACAAGGAGAAAATAAGGACAGCCATGACTGAAAAATAGAGAATAACATTGCATAACCAATGATATCTCTCCTGGTAAGCTGCAAGTGCCATTTTTAAAACAGCAGCTTAAGGTAATGGCTCCAGAGCGGAGAAGAACATTACAGAAGCAAAGATTCCTCTCCCTGTAAGCTCCAAGCACCATTTTGAAAAGGCTTGAGAGCAGTTTGTCTCCAGTCAAGCATGCTCAGTGGTTCCCAAGTCATTGTTGGTAGACGCTTGCATTAGAGAGGAAGAAGGAGCAATTCAGATACATCAGCATCTCAGGGGATGCAATAAAGGATATAAATATCTTCGATAGCTGCCATCCTGCAGGTCTCTGAGAAGAAGGGCGACTTAAGGGAATATTCCTGTCTAGCAAGAGCGATTTGGAGAATTCATGTGGATGCAAATAATAAAGATGGTGTATCAGCTTATTGGGGACACAGTAAAATAACTAAAATGTATCTCAGATGGCCACTAGCCCTTATGTCTTTGAGGAGAAGGACCACTTAAGTAAAATATTTCTGTTCTTAAATTAGACTGATTTGGAGGATCTCAAAACCTATGACTAATTCCAGAAAGGTTAGTGAGAAAAAGTGGAGCTCTAAATTTAAAAACAAACAGATGTACAACACTGTCATTGCAAACCTCTTGAATTTAGTGTAAATGTAAATTGCAGAACCTGCACAGCTCTTTTAAGGTTGGTGTTATATGTTGTCTGTACAGTACTTTTGTCAGCAATCTTTCTGTTGCATTTTGTACCAATTCTATATTATGTGTCATCTTCAAGGGCAGCTACAGGGTGAGGCAGGATAACTTCATTTTTTCAAAACTTAATAAAACCCATTGTATGAATCAGAATTTTTTTTTATAATGTAGACGCATACCTAAAGTTTTGTTTTACGTAGTTTTGAGATCAAATTAGGTAGGTGACGTCCCCCATTCTCCATTCTCCATACACTGAGTAAACCGATTTCTGGCGTTTGTCATGTCTCTTGCCAGCATAGCAGGCTTTATGTTGGCAATTTCTTCCTGGATGTTGATCTTCAAATCTTGTAAGGGCCTTGGACGGTTCACATAAACACGGGATTTCAAAAAACCCCATAGAAAAAAATTACAAGGGGCCAAATCTGGAGAGTGGACCGGCCACTCCAAATCCGCTCGAAAAGTAGGCCTCAACGGCAAAAGCACGCTCCTCACTGTTCGAACACATGATGGCGACTGAACTGTGTCAGGACAAAACTTTATACTCCCGCCTCTTGAACGAGACCATTAGTGCTCCGCTACGTCTTCAACCGACTGAATGACGCGCATTTTAAAAAAGGAAGTTATGCTCCCTCACCTTGTAGATGTAGAGTGCACTGGTTGTGTGCTTGCCTTCAAGTCTACTGTAGACATATAGTGAGTGACCCCATGAGTTTCATAGCATTTTTTAAGGCAAGGAATACTTGTGTGTGTGTGTGTGTGTGTGTGTGTGTGTGTGTTTGTGCATTATACTGGAGACTGGAGTGGCAAATTTTGTTTGTTATTATATCTTTCAAGTCCATATTGAATTTGCACCATGCAGCGTAGTGTCATCCTCTATATATTTGCTCATGAGTAAACACTTGAGTTTAGTGGATTTACTCCTACATAAGTATGTCTAAGATGGCAGCCTCAGCAACTTAGTTGTGTGTCATCATTATTCACTGAAAAAAGTATGAAAAGTTTCCCAGGACTGCTATCAAATAGTTACATTTTACTTTCCGTGATTTACTAATTGTTATATAACTTGGAATGTAGGAAAATTAAGGGTCTGGAGAACAAGCCCTATGAGGAGCAGCTTAAAGAGCTGGGCATGTTTAGCCTGAAGAAGAGAAGCCTGAGAGGAGACATAATGGCCATGTATAAATATGTGAGGGGAATTCATAGGGAGGAGGGAGCAAGCTTGTTTTCTGCTGCCCTGGAGACTAGGACATGGGACACTGGCTTCAAACTTCACGGAAGGAGATTCCACCTGAACATTAGGAAGAACTTCCTAACAGTGAGAGCTGTTCAGCAGTGGAACTCTCTGCCCTGGAGTATGGTGGAAGCCCCTTCTTTGAAGGTTTTTAAGCAGAAGCTGGATAGTCATCTGTCAACTTTCAACAAATATATGGAGGAGACAATAACTATTTCTTTTATCATTCCGCAAGGTTTACCATATGCACATATCCAGTGACAGTACTCCTTATTTTCAGGTTGTAGGGCACTACAAAGCTCAACTTGACCCTCTTGGGATTAATGCCGTTTCTTTTGATGATTCCCTGAGTGAACCCTGTAATCGCACAGGCATTGGTGAGCTCTTCCCTTTGATTTACTTTGTTAGCATGATATTTCTTTCTTTGCCTTTCCTACTACCCTTCTTTACCCGCTTCAACCTATTCAGATCCGTGGACACCATGTGGCTCAGTTGGATCCATTAGGAATCTTGGATGCTGACTTGGATTCATTCGTTCCATCGGATTTAATCACTACTATAGATAAACTGGGTGAGAATTTTTAACACCTTTGTAATAAATTAATATTCATGGTGAGGGGGATGTCTCATGATTAAGTGCAGCAGGCAGTTAGGTGATCGTTGACTGAATATTTCCTTCTGTACATCGAAGGCCACTTGTCTTGAATGAGATAGTCCTCTAACTCTGTGTATTAATTTATGATAAATGTTTCAGTATGTGTGTATGCTTGTGTACAAAAGGTCTATACTTTCGGCTGAAAGAAGATATGTGAGAATGGCATTTTTCATTCACAACAACACACAAGTGGCCTGGATAGATAGGTTTTGGAATAGATTGCTCCCAAATATTTGGCATTTATTTTAGGTGTTATTGCAAAATACAATAGATTTCTTGACTCGAAAATACTAACATTTATTTAAGAAAATTGGGCAAGAAGATACGGAATTACTGGAGAAGAGATTTGTCTCACAGTAAATTTTTTAAATTGTCTTGTCAGATTCAATATCTCCAGGTATGTATCAAATTCGTTGTCCGTCTGTATTTATTTTCAAGCATTATACTTTTAAAAGCTTTGTTTATGTTGAGATTAAAAGGTGTTTCTTTGTAGACAGATAGATAATGATTGGTGTGTGTTTATTTTTATTACAAATGTTGTATATTTTTCAATATTAGAAACTGCAAATCAGACTAAGCAGAAAAAGAATATAAATCTATGTATAAGTAATAAGATTAAAGGGAATCATTTCAAGCATCCCATATATCATAGTGGCATAAAGTTGGAGGGTCACCTACAGGTTCACTATGAATTTTAATTATAGATTCAGTTCATTCAATAATCTAAGATCTCAGGTTCATCCTTAGACCCTTGTTTATGTCATAGGCCTAAGTTTGATTTTTGATTTTTCTTCCTGTCACCATACTGTGAACGTAATTGGCACAGAGTTTTATGGGTTATATGAGTCTGACTTGGACAAAGTATTCCAGTTGCCAACAACAACCTTCATAGGAGGAAATGAAACTATGCTTTCTTTACGAGAAATCATCAAACGATTGGAGGTTAGTGTATTGATATTTTGTATTGTTCCTTTCTCCTAAATGGACTGTTTTTTTTTTTTTTTGTTTTCACACCTTGGAAATGTACAAAATATAGACAGCCTTTAAAGCAGGGGTGCTCAAACTTTTTAAACAGAGGGCCAGGTCACAGTCCCTCAAACTGTTGGAGGGCTGGATTATAATTTGAAAAAAGAAATGAATTAATTCCTATGCACACTGCACATACCTTATGTGTAGTGCAAAAAACACTTAAAAACAATACAATAATTAAAATGAAGAACAATTTTAATAAATATAAACTTATTAGTATTTCAATGGGAAGTGTGGACCTGCTTTTGGGTGATGAGATAGGATTGTTGTTGTGTGTTTTCAAGTAATTTCAGACATAGGTTGACCCTGAGTGAGGGCCGGGTAAATGACCTTGGAGGGCCATATATGGTCCTTGGGCCTTAGTTTGAGGACCCCTGCTTTAAAGGAAAGGATTACTCTTCCACTTTCCTTAGATAAAAAAACAATGAAAAAATCTGATACAAACTATCCAGGTATTATAAGTTGGAACTTGAAAGAAAATAAGTTAAGATATGCTCTTCTTCCAGATTCCAATTGCAGAATCTGGAGAGTGTATAGAAACAACCCATTTAGCTCAATGCTGATTATAGTGAATTAATGTAGTTCTTCAAGCAGTCCTTGCTATTATGAGAATTCTTAGCTGAAAATAGGATTGTTATGGTTCATCATTGCATATTGTTTTTCAGTGTGTTTTTATGTGTTCTTTAAATTTAATTCTTATAGTTCAAAATATTTAATTGTTGGTATCTGTGCAGATATAGTACTATCCAAGTACTATATTTATTTATTTATTTTATTTACAGTATTTCAGGGGGACTCAAAGCAGTTTACATATAAGTAATGGCAAAATTCAATGCCAGTACAAACAATTACAATTATATGCTACGATTAGACATAAATCAAGTTAAAAACAATACATCCACAAGCAATAATTAAAACAATAAAACAGTGTCGTCCATTGAATTGCCGTTACAGTCATTGTCTTTCTGAAATGCTGTATACATTTACTTCTACTGCCCGAAGGCGTGGTCTCAAAACCATGATTTTAATTTTTTTCTAAAAGCCAGGAGGGAGGGAGCGGATCTTACCTCATTTATATTTATATATTTATATTTATATGAATTACAAGTTTATGCATTGTTAACTTTAATGTGTCTCCCATCCTTAACACTCTTGAGGATGTTCCTAAACTTTTATCCAGAAGTTAGTTTGTATGAAGTTTGAGCAGAAGTTTGGAAAAGTATGAGTTAGTATGACATCTGCACTGACCCTTAGGGATGGACGCTGAATGGAGAAACAAACAATGTTTAATTTTTATTTTTTCTTCACTCTCTTATTGTTTTTCACTACTTTAAATGTAAAATTTGTCATGAAGAATACATATTGTCAACATATTGGGCTGGAGTTTATGTTCATTAATGACGTGGAGCAGTGTGATTGGATCCGACAGAAATTTGAAACTCCGGGTGTCATGAAATTCAGCAGTGATGAAAAAAGAACATTGTTGGCTAGATTGGTGAGATCAACAAGGTATGCTTGGAAGGAGTGATATGAGTGCCTTATGAGATTTGTCTTGAAAATGTTATCTTATATGTTGTCAGTTCTTCTAATTAGAGTTAGAATAAGTTCTTCTAATTAGAGAAGAAACAACATTGTATATTTTTGAAAGTGGACCTTGGTGTTGGTTTATAGCAGTAGAATAAGAAGAAAGGAAAAGAACAATAACATTTCCCTTAGACGCATTTCTTTAAAATACAACTGGAGGCTAAATTGCAGTGCAAAATATAGACCTGTTCTATTGGCCAACATCACAGCTAATGAACATGACAATTGATCGTGGTCTACACTAGAAAATTTGAGTAGTCATTTTACATTGTTACTGGAGCATAACATTTGCCTTCCATCGTGGTATTTATTTAGTAAGACAGCAGTAGATCATTCCTGCCCAAGTTTAATTAAAAGAGAAATGAATTTGAGCGAGATACTCTTAATAATCCGGTTAACATGGCATATGAATGACAGCCTGTTAATAATCTGTCATACAGAATTTTTTCTCATTTATCTTCCTGATAAAAAACAAAATAAACCTCAACAGTATAAACGCTGCACTGTTGCTTTTGCTTGCTAATTCAAGGAGAATTTGCTTTAAAAAACAGAAAGAAACCTAACTATATTCAGCTCACACACCAAAAAAATACTAAGAGGAGAAATTAGGAGAAGCTTGCTGTTTTCCTTTTTCATTTAAGATTGCAAGGATTTAGCAATTTGGCATTTATTAATTTCTGCTGTTTTGACTCTGTAAAAAAATCAGTTTGTCTGGGGTGTGGCCGTACAATGTGTAAAACAAAAACAAAACACACACACAAAAATCATCTTTTTTAACCAGAGAAATTCTTCATCTGACTCGGATCATGCATAATGTGGGTGTTTTAAATAAAATCATTTAACTTGCAAATTCTGGGTTTAATATGTGGAATTTTGCAAGTCTGCAGAAATAGAGGACAAAAGAAGAAATGAGAAATATGTCAATGTGGACACTGCAATCTGAGCAATGTTGGGTCTGGAGGAAGGATTTCCTACACCTTAGACCTGCCACAGGTGGCACTGTTTCTGACTGGGCCTGATGTAATTGCACATGTACTGCTGATTTTGGCAAAAGTCAGCATGATGGAGTGGATTGAGCGTTGGACTATGACTTTGATTCCCCTCTTGGTCACAAAACGGATGCGTTGCACACTCTGAGTCCCAGAAAGCTCCATGCTAAGTTTGTCTTGGAGTCACCATAGCCAGAAACAACTTGAAGGCACACAATAACAACATATTGTCGAAGGCTTTCATGGCTGGAATCACTAGATTCTTGTAGGTTTTTTCGGGCTATAGGGCCATGTTCTAGAGGCATTTCTCCTGACGTTTCGCCTGCATCTATGGCAAGCATCCTCAGAGGTACCTCTGAGGATGCTTGCCATAGATGCAGGCGAAACGTCAGGAGAAATGCCTCTAGAACATGGCCCTATAGCCCGAAAAAACCTACAAGAACCTAATAACAACATATCTTAACCTAGGATTTGAATACTATAGCAGCAGTTCAGCTCCTGGTTTAAAAGGAATAGGTATCCTCTAATTAATGTTAATGTTTCCCCTAGCAAGGGTTAAACAACAGGTGGATTGGAGATTGTGCTGCTTCTTAATTTAGTAGTTTTTCATGATGGTCACACTGCCTTAACAAATTGATTCTTTGAGGATCTTAACACTTCAGAGCCACTTCCTTTCTCACTTGGTCATTACAACATGTATGCAAATAAAATAGAGATATTTGTTTTGTGTTGGAATTCACAGCCTTATGAATTCTATTTCCTAGCGTAATAGGGAGTCTGCTTTCCAAAAATAGCAGTGAGGATTTTATTCTGTAGCTTGAAGTGCTGGAAATAATGTGAACAGAGAGTGTGTACCACTAGAGTCTAGTGGTTCTCAACCTGGGGTCCCCAGATGTTTCTGGCCTACTACTCCCAGAAATCCCATCCAGTTTACCAGCTGTTAGGATTTCTGGGAGTTGAAGGCCAAAAATATCTGGGGCCCCAAGTTGAGAACCACTGCGACTAGACAATATATTGCTACTTGAAAGAAGTAAAAACTTGTAGCTTAATTTTAAGTTCAGCAGACAAGGTGCATCTCCATTGGAGTTGCCATTGTTTTATTTTGCTTACTGTCCTAAAAAAACCCAAGTGTTAGTGTCTTCACTCCATGAGTTGCCTTAGGATGTGCCATAGTTCTTATACTTACAGATTAAATAGCAGATACTTAAAATGTCTCAGAAGAAATCTTAGTTGATCACTTCAGGTTTTTGCTTAGCAGTTGACTTTATGCCTGGGGATGTCCTCAGAATATTTATTAGCAAGAAATAACTGAATCCTGTACATGTTTCCACATAAGTTTAGTGGGGATGGCTCCTTGCTTGGATTGCTCTGTGTAGGCCTCACTTTGAAAAATAAGATTGGTAATTTCTGTAATTTGAAGTTATTTGGAGGACATTGACACATTACTTGTTTTAGATTAGTAGCATTATTTTAGTGTATTTTAAACTGTATTTTGGACAAAAGAAAAAATATGAAATATATAGGAATAAGCAAATAATAAATATGATAATTTTCATTGCAGTCAGTACTTAAACTGTCCTGGTACAATTTTTATAGTTTTAATTCCTTAAGTTATCACGAGGATAAAAATTATTTGATCAGTGTTTCTTTCAACATTAATTAAAAGTCTTTAATCATGTGTTCTGTGTTTACCACATACACTAGAATTAAAAGAGAAAAAAGCTTTATCTGTCACTAAAGTATAGCTTTTATTTCTCTGCTTGCTGGTACTTGAGGAATAGATTGCACTATAATTGTTGCTGGCAGTTAATAACCAAATACTATATCTTCACACAAAGGCCCTGTGCAGTTTCAAAGTTTTTCATTATTTACTGTTCATACATTTATACATTTGCTTAAAGAAGTATGTTGTTCCAAACATTTGCTTTTTTTCAAATGCTGATATGATGCTTCCTGTTGGATATTCAGCCTACTTGTTTTGCCCCAAGTTTTCCCCCATAAAAAAGGCTCATGTTACAAAAGTCATTTGAAACTGATCTTGTCTACCAGCTGTACAGATGTCCTTTGAGTAGATTTGACTAAGTGATTGTAACTTTAAGAGTGTTGGTTCCAAGAATGGTCCTTCTCATTTTTATAAGTGATTATATGCCTTAAAACAAAGAGGGTGCATTTTGATAGAATGATAGTTTTTGAAATGTTCGGGCTTTTTCGTTTACATATATTGCTTCCTTGTTCATTGCTTTTCTGGATAGATTTGAAGATTTTCTTGCCCGTAAATGGTCTTCGGAGAAGCGTTTTGGCTTGGAAGGATGTGAAGTAATGATCCCTGCTCTCAAAAGCATCATTGATAAGTCTAGTGAAATGGGAATTGAATATGTTATAATGGGCATGCCACACAGGTAAATGCTTACCTAGTTGAATTTAGTAGATATATTTGTACTGCACTTATTTACATAATTTAGTGAACATTATTATAGATGGCTGTTCTCCAACTATGGTCATCCAGATGTTCTGGGTTTCAGTTTCCAGAAGCCCAAGCCATTTGAGGGATGGAAAAATAGCCAGCATTTGCTGGACTTAACAACCCCATATTTCCTGCGATCACCTTTTTGTTGTGTTTATCACCTTTCAAATTGTAGGCCCAAGGACAGGGAATTATCAAATTAATAATTTGTAAGCCATTCTAGAGGGAGCCCCTGGTGGTGCAGTGGGTTAAACCACTAAGCTGCTAAACTTGTTGACCGAAAGGTCGCAGGTTCAAATCCGGGGAGCAGCGTGAGCTTCTGCTGTTAACCCCAGCTTCTGTTAACCTAGCAATTTGAAACCATGCAAATGTGAGTAGATCAATAGATACCGCTCCGGTGAGAAGGTAATGGCTCTCCATGTAGTCATGCCGGCCACATAACCTTGGAGGTGTCTACGGACAACGCTGGATCTTTGGCATAGAAATGGAGATGAGCACCAACCCCCAGAGTCAAACACAACTAGACTTAATGTCAGGGGAAAACCTTTACCTTTGTCTAACCCATTCTAGAAGCCCTTCTGTCTCAAGAGCAGGATATAAATCCTCCAAATCAATCACTCACTCAATATAATAAAGTCAACAGATACAAATTCTATAGGAAGGATAGGGAAGAATGTTTTGGAGTGGTGTTGCTTTCTATATCAAAGAAATTGGGAAGTATGCAAAAGAGAAAAAGTATTGTAGGAGCATGGAGCATCAAATAATCTCACACCGATTGGATAAATATGAATTCTGATTACAACAAAGAAGTGCAAAATCTTGATATCTTAAGAACAGTGCTCTAGAAAAACAGGAAATGACCAGAATTTATCAGAATCTTAAGTGTAACTGTTATGCCTTGTTGTTAGTACATTGTCAAACTGAATGGAAACAAGAAACAAGGGATTTCAACACACCCCAAAATAAAGAAATTGGTAGAAAAGGAAATTGAAACAAAAAATCACAAGTGTCAGGTATAAGGTAGATATCTATGCCTGAACTGATATTTTTGGTCTGAGAAGTTAAGTCAAATACTGGTGGGTAGAATTTTAGAGCCTACACGCCCCATTTTTGATTCGGAAGTTGCTCCTGGATTTCCATACAACATCCAGAGACTTCTGGCCTCTAACATGGGGCAGAATGCCAGTGTTGGTTTGAACCGTTGGGCCGCTTCTAATTTGAACCAGTCCATATGTTCGCATAGGACATGTACCACCATCCTTCTTTCCCCACGCTCAGAAACACAGAGAGAAAGGAATGGCACTTACTTGTGATGTAGTTTGTTGCTACAGTAGCGGCCACAGAACTCCAGAGATCCTCCCCGTTCCCCCCCAGATCACTCAGGTACCTTTGTTGACATCAACAAAAGCGCTCAGCAACAGCCAAGAATTCTTTGGATTCTAGCTGCTGCTGTGGCAACAAAGGACAACAAAAGTTAAGGTGGTTGTCCAGTGGGCCATGATTCAGTAATGGAACATGTAAACTTCTCCATAATGATTCAGACCAGACCCACATTTTGATGCCTTTGTGGATTTTACTTTTAGTTCTATGGGCCTTCTTGATTAATTGAAAATAAATGTCTACCTTGATTTATTTTTACCAGTTTTTGGAATTTTCTCTTAAACCCTTTTTTAGACATGTCACCAAATCGGTTTCTGCTAAGTAATCTCTCTGTCCTGAATCTAATATTTCTTCCCCTTCCTTGTTCCCTTTTCTTTTCTCTTATCTTCTCTTTCTGTCTCCCTTCTCCCTTGGTCATAATCAATTTCTTTCAGAATTTAATTTAAGCAAGAATTTAATGTACTGAAATGTTTAAATTTAGACATGCTGTTCGATTCCCCTCAGTCTCCTTCCTTACTCCTTTTTTCCTTTCCTTTTTATTTCTATTTTTTAAAACATTATAAACAATGGGTGTGAGGATGTGGCTGTCATTTTTCAAACAATTGCCCCACACAGTTTTGTATATAAATAAGTAAAACTGATGATAGCAGTTTAATATTATTTTAATATTAAGTTTTCATATGTTTTAATTATGCGTAGTTATATTTGTAACCCTTTTTGTTTTGTAAGTTGGCTTGATTCGCTCTCTTGGATAAAAAGGAGATATTATTAAGGCGATTCATTGAGAAATGAGATTTTCTGTTGTATCTCTGCATAATTTTAATCCAATTTATGCTGATAAAATTTATATTGTTAAACCTAGAGATTAGAACTTTGCATTAAATGCGCTACAGAACTTTATATATACACCTTACATGAATCTTTACTGATTTATAGATTTGTCACTTGTGTGGTTTCTTTGTTTGTTCCCCTTTTCAAGAGGAAGGTTGAATGTGTTGGCTAATGTTATTCGAAAAGAGCTGGAACAGATCTTTTGCCAATTTGATCCAAAACTTGAAGCAGCTGATGAGGTTAGTTCTGATATTTTCAGAATGTTTTCACTTTCTACTTACTTTGATGAGTTTTTCTAGATTATTTTCAGTTTATTTTATTTATCAAAATACATCTTCTCTTCTCCATAATTTTAAAGAGCCAGTTTATGGAATAAGGTTTAATATTTATATTGGGAGGTGCTTATTGTACTTATTGTTTTGTATTTTAAAGGTTGAATGTTATGTGATGTCAAGGCCAATGGCTGGTACAATAAATCACTCATTCACATCTGCTCTTCTCCACCTTTTATCACAGGCTTTCAGTGTAGTATATTGAAGAAACAATTTTTTGAACATGAAAGTTAGGATTTCATTGCTTATATTCATTAATTTTATGACTCATGTTGATATATTAAATGTATGCATATTTTAGAATAAACATCACATTGAAACTGCCAGACACGGGTGTCTTGCAGTTTCTCAAGTAGCGTCTGACACAATAAAAAAAATCCTTTAAAATTGGCCAGATTAAAAAATGAGCTGTAGAAGGCACATGCTTCCATCTTTGAAGTTCTTGAAGAAGCTCGTTTATCATCTTGAGCAAAAAAAAAAAAAAATTGTAAAGCTTTGGTATACTGTTCCTTCCTCCAACCATACAGGCAAAGCATCATCATCCTGTGCAACTTTTTACAAAGGATGACATTTTAAAAAAACACAGAAATGTTTTTAGTAAGAAAGCAGAGGAAAAGATATTAGTAGTAATTCATGTAAAAGGGGTGTGTTGGATAGATTGTTGCTGAAACATTGAGCAGTGTGATGGTTGGAATTTTTTTGAATCAACCACAGTTCCCAGAACCCTCCAACCTACATGGCCTTTGAAAAAAGTAAGCTTATGAAATTCTGTTCTTCAATTATATGTGTTGTGCTGTTGATATACCCTCCTATAAAAGTGAGTTTTTAATCTATATCCCTCATTAGATAGATAAGTACCCATGGTATGCTTAGTTCCATCCTAGCAGAAAATGATCTTGATTTCTAGAGACTAAAAAGGGACAGTGGCTGCCCCCAAGAGTTTTTTTAAGCTGTAGAAGTAGCCTATTTTCTTAGCCTTTCCCCCCTCATTTTTCTGTAACTAACAAGACAGGAAGGGCATAGTAGCAGTTTAGAATTAAACTGAGTTCAGTGAATGCCCCCCAGATTGGCCCCCTCCCTCCTAACATTTTGAAAAAGAGTTAAAACCTGGCTTTTTGAGTAAGCATTTGCAAATGCAGTGTAACAGACTAATTTAGATTCACAGAATGATTGGACGATGTGATGGGAAAATGATTTTAGTAATGAGACGCTGAGTACTAGTGTTTTATTATTTTTATTGTTTCTACTGTTTTTATATGGTTTTTTTAATTATATTTTATGTTGTTAGGGCATTGATTGCTGGCTGTAAACCACCTTGAGTTGCCTTCGGGCTGTGAAAGGCGGTATATAAATATAGATAGATAGATAGATAGATAGATAGATAGATAGATAGATAGATAGATAAATGCAAGCTAAGATTCATAAACTGACAATATCTTGTTTTCTAACCTTCTTGCTTCCAAACTCTATTTTGCTGGGTGGATTTGGACATACAAACATCTTTGAACAAAACCATGGCTCAGTCTGTCCAGGCTGGTGATAAATTTATGTGTTTCTTGTATTTTAGGGGTCTGGTGATGTAAAATATCATTTGGGAATGTACCATGAGAGGATCAATCGAGCAACAAACAAAAAAATTACCCTGTCTCTTGTGGCTAATCCGTCTCATTTGGAAGCAGTAGATCCTGTGGTACAAGGGAAGACCAAGGCTGAACAATTTTACCGAGGGGATTCTGAGGGGAAAAAGGTAACATTACGTGGATAGTAGATTTCCTTGGTCTGATTTGTAATAAACAAGTCTATTGTAGCTCTCCAGATACCTTTTAAATATTCAAAATTCAGGGTTGTTCCCGCCCCCATCAGTTGAATATGAGGCATGTGACTTAGTCAGCTCTTTAGACTTGGACCATTTCTTCAAATTTTCTAATATTTGTTAAGAGTGTCAGTTTACTGTCTTTTAATTGATCATAAACCAGTTTTATTAAAAGTATTCCTTAAGAAAGGATGGGGTGGAGTCTTCTATGGTCTTTATAGTATACAACAAATAAAGATCCAAAACTTGGGTCCAAGAGGGACCTCCCAAGTATACTTGATCTTTCAGAGGGAACATAGCCCTGTCCAGAACAGATTGCAGGTTAGCTTGTGTGTTGACCAACTTAATTTTCATCTTATCTAGACTGATCCATAGGTTCTATGAAAACTTGAACTTGTGCTATTCCCCCATCACCGTAAGTGTAAAAAGGGAGATTAGAAACTTACTACTAATTATTGGAAGGTGTGGGTGGACTCAGATTACTGCAACTCCATCTTACTCATTGGAACTGATGTACTGTTTCAACTATACCTTGGTATGCACAACTTGGGGAACTTGACAGCTTCCTCCTCAGTCAACTGTGTAGACAGATGCTCTCCTGAAAGCTAATCTAGAGAATGCAGTATAGTTTGGTGAGAGTTTCAGTGAAACAGCAGATTCTTTGCAACTTGTTTTATGATAAGAAAAATGTAATTGGAATAGTAAATGGAATATGTCATTCAATATTTTTTGTCTGATGGTATACCTGTTACTTTTAAATTCCTGATCACTTAGGTCATGTCTATACTTTTACATGGAGATGCTGCCTTTGCTGGACAAGGAGTGGTTTATGAAACCTTTCATCTCAGTGATCTTCCATCATATACCACCAATGGTACCATTCATGTTGTGGTCAACAATCAGGTACAAATCAGAAAATATCTTGAGGAATGTGGGTTTCCCGTTGTTGACATTTCTTTCCAAGACTTTCAGAACAAGGGTTGAGCCAAACACCCTACTGCTACAAGAAACATTTTTGAGAAGGAGACCCGAAGAATGATAGCAAATGTCAACAGAAAGGCTGAGAAAAATTCAAAGGATTTATGGGAAAAAAACATTTGAGGTTGTTTATGCAAGGTCATTCTGAGTTTAGAATGCGAAATGTTGTATTACATTATCCTTTTTTTTTTTTTTACAAATTGTCATGGGATAGGCCCTGTGGTACTTTGTCTTTTCTCTTTCTCTAGCTTCAATAGATAGCAACTAAATCAAAGAAGAAAACAATAGTATATATATTTTTTCTAAATACATATAATTCTGCCACATAAATAAGAGTTCAGTAAGCAAAGCATAAATTTTATAACTTAGAACAGAAGGAGGGGAGAAAAGATTGGAAGGACAGAAAGGGAGCGAGAGGGAGATTTAAAGCAACTTGCAAAGTTGTGCATTTCAGATTGGTTTTACTACGGATCCACGAATGGCTCGCTCATCTCCGTATCCAACTGATGTGGCTCGGGTGGTCAATGCGCCTATATTCCATGTGAATTCTGATGATCCGGAAGCAGTAATGTACGTGTGCAATGTAGCAGCAGAATGGCGGAACACGTTTAATAAAGATGTGGTCATAGATCTGGTAAGTATTGTCATTACTTTCTCAGGCGGAGATCCAGAGTTTGCATAGGGCTGGCCTGTCATGTGTAGAGTGAAATGTCTAGAAGGTTACCTCCCATCATAACCCTGTTGCCTCCCTTGAACCTTGGAAAGCCTCCCCTTTCTGTTGGAGGACTTGGGAGCATGGGAAGACAAAATGGAAAGGGACAGTTGGCTGTTCTGAAGTAGGCCCTTGTAATGCAGACTTAATCTTAAATGTCCTGCTTGTCTTAATGATATCTAGACTTTTATCAAAAACAGGGTCCAAGGTTGCTTTGATAGACATTTCTTTGGAAAAGTTTCATTTTGAATGTAAATTAGTTCAAACATGACTTGAAAGTAGTAAGAACATATTTTGAGAAATAGATACTCCTGAAACCTAGTTTGTATTCTGTAGATTTTCCCTCATCAAATGAAACTGTGCCCTTATGACTTGTGCAATAAAAGACTACCTCTTAGTATGTGGTGAGTGCTTTTTTTCTCATCACATCTAAATTATACCCCATAATTTCTATGTAATATCTCTTTTTAAAAGCTAAGGATTAACTCCTGACAAATAGAAACTCTAAAATAAATTTGAGAAAGAAAAAGACACATGAAGGCTGATGACTTTATGACTAAATTGATTGAAATAAGATTTCTTTTTAGGTTTGTTACCGAAAACGAGGCCACAATGAAATGGATGAACCCATGTTCACCCAACCCTTAATGTACAAGCAAATTCATAAGCAAGTTTCTGTGCTTAAAAAGTATGCTGACAAGCTGATAGCTGATGGAACTGTAACACTGCAGGAATTTGAGGTATACCATGCCAGCAATTTATGAACCTGGGTTTGTAAACTGTCATCTTGCTGCAGTCTGTTGTTTTAATGAGCTTGCTTTTTGATTTGAGATACATTGTTTTTGTAAGTGTGTGTGTGTGTGTAAAGGATGAGCCAGGTTTTACATTTGTCATAATGTGGGAAATCCATTGAGTGCCCAGACAAGCAAAATAGGAAAGTAATATACAATATATAATCTGCAGGATCAATTTGGTAAAGTACAAGGTCCTGCAAAATAGGTTTTTGTGGTGCCCATATCTCCTAAGTGATTATTCTTTCTTTCCTTTCTGACTTCATACTGTGGGTGCTCCAAGCCTGTGAGGTGTAGCAAGAGGTCAGAGGTGAATCTGTGTTCCTCTGCAGAACCCTCTGTATGCCAGAGCATTTGGAAAGGTTGTGATTGGTGGTGACCACAAAGAGGTGCTACTTTTTGTGATCAACCAATGACTGCAAACACCTTTACAAGGCCTCCCTTACTATTAAGATAGGTATGGTCTTGCTAATGTTGAATGTCAATAAAGAGCAGTTAGTTGTTTAATGTATTATCATTAGTCATGGGTACTACATAGGTTGAGTACAATGGGGTAGAAGCATCATCTCAGGCAGCTCAATATCTTTGGCAGTCCTTTTTGGTAAATGGTATCAGCTCCAGCTCCTCATGCGGGGACATGAGAGAAGCCTCCCACAAGGATGATAAAAACGTCAAATCATCTGGGCGTCCCCTGGGCAATGTCCTTGCAGACGGCCAATTCTCTCACACCAGAAGTGACTTGCAGTTTTTGAAAGTCGCTCCTGACACACAAAAAAAGATATGATATAGCAATGATACAGTTTTATAAAGAGAGACTCTATAGAGACAAAAATTTATCTGTAGGAGTTGGTAGATGCTTGTCAGCTATGCCTTCATCAATGGCTTTTACAGGATCCTAAATAAAAGCCTAGTGTGTGTGAAAAGGCCTATCCTGGAGAGATCAAGAAGTCAAAAAAGCTATTTATTCATGCAGGAAAATGCAGTTAACCCATTGCTTCCTGTTATTTGAGCTGGGAGCAATGGTCAAAAGACTATCAACCAGCCAGATTTGGATGCCAACTTTAAATCACACGTCTTTAAATAAATCTTAGCTTGTACTTCTAATCCATGTTAACAATTCATTGTATTCCTTAGTGCAAATCAGCTTCCAATACACTCCCTCTTTATAAAAAAAGGCCTTATTAACATGAGGAATTTCCTCCCAAACCTCCAAATACCATAGGAGGTTTGGGGAATAATTTGAGATATTTAAGTCTGCACAATTTTGGGGGTGGCTTTGGAATCCTGGGAACTGTAGATACTGCCTTGGAGCCTTAATTCATTGTTCTGCATACATTGATCTTCAGTTGCAAGTTTGGGGCCTGACAGTGGTTTACTTAGCAATATAAAGTGGGCCGTTCCAGCAGTATCAACAGGGATTTAAAATTTTAGAAGATGTAGGAAGAATGTGGTGGTTTGACCATTGGGCTATGACTCTGGAGTTTGAACCCTTGCACAGTCATAGAAACTCACTGGGTTACCTTAGGCCAGTGGTTCTCAACCTGTGGGTCCCCAGATGTTTTGGCCTTCAACTCCCAGAAATCCTAACAGCTGGTAAACTGGCTTGGATTGCTGGGAGTTGTAGGCCAAAAGACCTGGGGATCCACAGGTTGAGAAACACTGTTTTAGGCAAACCACAGTCTCAGCATCAGAAAAATCTTGCCAGGAAAACTCCATAATAGGTCTACCTTAGGGGCACCATATGTCACAAAAGGGAGGAGGTGTAGAGAGGAGAGATTGAGAGAGGGAGAGAAAGATGTCGAAAGACAGAAAGATATACGTAGTAAAAATAAAAAGAAATTTGCTACAGTCAGTAGCTAAATGTGGATATAAACTTTGACTTTACTGGATCTTTCATTGTCACTAAGTTCATGAACCATTGATAATTTAATATACATATTAGGTTTTCTTCTTGTTGTTTTACAGGAGGAAATTGCAAAGTATGATAAGATCTGCGAAGAAGCATATAGTAGGTCCAAAGATAATAAAATTCTACACATTAAACACTGGCTTGATTCACCTTGGCCAGGTAAGAAGTGTTCTTAAAAATGGCATTGGGTGATACATTTTCAATGAAAATATTTTGTTTTAAGCATGCTCAATGCTGAGGTAGAATATTTAGTCATTCGGCACTGAAATAAAATTACCTCCCTCCTACTCTATTCTAGGTTGAGGATCGGCACAGTTAATTTATGATGGAGTATTAAACACTTTATAGTGGCCGCTTTGGTGACTTCCTGATAATTTTCATAATGTGAAAACTACTATTGATGCAGTGATGGTGACACTCTCCCATTGTTCTTTGCATGGTAATTGTATCAAGTTGAGCACTTGTTACAATTATTTTTGTGTTATTTGCATATGGTTAAAACAAGAAAAGACATGTGGGGAAAACACTGAGGCTACAAAAGGAAAATAAAGGGAGAGCAAAATAAAGGAAAAGTAAAAAAAAACTGGTCAAGGTAAGTTCTCCCTAATGCAGTTTGAAATGTTTCACTTTTCAGTCACCTGCTGAAATCAGGTCTTTATGAAATATTAAATACTTTCCTAGACAAAGTAACCAACCCAAGTTGTATATGCAGGCAAACAATGAATTGCCATATCAGTGTAGTTAATGTAGGGAAGAGAATAATATTAATGCCTGAGATTAGTGCATGCCTTCTAGAGCAATGGTTCTCAACCTGTGGGTCCCCAAATGTTTTGGCCTTCAATTTTTGTCATGTTGTCATTTCTGTTTATTTCAAATAAGAATAATTGTTTCTCCTTTTGAAAACAGAATCCTGAATTTTTCTAAACAAGTGATTTTCCCCCTATTAATTTCTGTAGTGTTAATTTGTTTGACCCTCTTCCAGGTTTCTTTAATTTAGATGGAGAACCAAAAAGTATGACTTGTCCCCCGACTGGCATCCCTGAAGAGATGCTGACCCATATTGGCAACATAGCCAGCTCTGTGCCACTTGAAGGATTTAAAATACATGGAGGTGAGTGAAAATCTTAATTCTTTGGAATATTAGCTATCCTTGGTTTCTGGATATGCAGAGCTAGTATAGGTTTGGAATACGAGACTAACTTCAGTCAATTTAATACTGCAGCTCCCTATCCCATTTCAAGCTGGCTTGTATTTTCTCAACAGCAACTTTCCTCTTTTTTTTGCCTCGCCCTTAAAATGTAGTGGTGATTTACATAGCAGAGAACATGGCATTAGCAGCTAGCATGAGTCTGTATACCTGATTTTTCCTTCAGGTTTATTAAATGTTGGTACAAGCAATGTTAATGAAATATGCAAATTATCATTTTTCCTTGCTGAATTGAGTCAATCATAACTTTATTGTTAGTTTGAATGGTCTGGCAAACATTGTACAAAGGTCTTGAGTGAAGCTATGGCACTTCAATTAGTGTTAAATTAATAATATTTAAATTCATGTTAAGAGTTGATTGTGGCCACTAAGTGTGCCTGCTGATTATAAAGACAGGCTCTCTGTCCTTTAGAAACTAGTAGAGTGGCTGATCTTTAAAAAAAATAACATTTACACTTCGTCTGTTATGGTGTGGCATAGTTACATTTGCATATTCTTTCATGTGAAAATGTATTCTTTAAAGAAGAGAATTTAATGTTTTCACTTGATGGTTTATGAAAGGTACGTAAGAGAGGAGGTGGAAATTTGGAAGATACTGGGGAAAAAAGAGTTTCCAATGGAGTATTCCTCTTTTTGATTACTATATATACTCACGTATAAGTCTAGAAATATTAGTCAAGAAATCAACCCAAAAACTGGGCTGACTTATTATCGGTCAATATAAATACTCTAATCAAAAAAGGGAACCATCCCCTTCTCTGAATAGAGTGGCGAGAGTTGCGAGTTTAATCCATCCCTGCTGTGCTGTTCAATCGTTCAGTCGTCTCTGACTCTTCGTGACCTCATGGACCAGTCCACGCCAGAGCTCCCTGTCGGCCGTCACCACCCCCAGCTCCTTCAAGGTACGTAAGAGAGTCCAGTCACTTCAAGGATGCCATCCATCCATCTTGTCCTTGGTCGGCCCCTCTTCCTTTTGCCTTCCACTTTCCCCAGCATAATTGTCTTCTCTAGACTTTGCTGTCTCCTCATGATGTGGCCAAATCCATCCCAGGAGAATCTAAAAGAAGCACTATGGGCCCTTCCAGACAGACCAAAATCTCAAGAAGAAGCCACACCCCAGGATTTTGCAGGGGTGGTGGCGGCTAGATCCTCTCCAGTGCAGATCCAAAATCAGCACAGGTAGAACAGAGCACTGTCATTTTCCCCCTCCCTGCTTTCAATTTTCCCATCAATTTATCAGAAGAGTCCGGCGGAGGCCTAAAGCCTTTTTCCCTTTCTTTCCTCCCTTGAAAGAGCCTTCAGAGGGCTTTGGAGTGGGGAGGGGGGGGATACCTACTCTAAGGTCCACTGTTGGCTGTTTGAGGGAGGAGGGAGAGGAAAGAACCCTTGAGGCCTCAATCAGAGCCTTCCTGTGGTAAGTTGAGGGGGAAATGGGGGGGGGGGGCAGGGAGGGAAGTCTGCCAGTGCCATCCCTCTTCTCCTGGCTTCCTGAGTCTGGGGAGGAGAAATTGCAGTGGAAACAGACATTGGTGATCCTGCATGTCTGTTTCCACAGGCCATATGATGATGATGATGATGATGATGATGATGATGATGATGATGATAATTAGCCGTTCCCTGCCACGCGTTGCTGTGGCCCACATAGGGGTTCTGTGTGGGAGGTTTGGTACTAATACAGTGTCTCTCAACCTGGGTATCGGGACCCCTAAGGGGGTCACAAGAGGATGCCAGAGGGGTCACCGAAGACCAGTAGAAAACAGTGTTTTATGTTGGTCATGGGGATCCTGTGTCCCAAGTTTGGTTCAATTCCATCCTTGGTGGGGTTCAGAATGCTCTGTGATTGTAGGTGAACGATAAATCCCAGCAACTACAACTCCCAGATGTCAAGATTCTATTTTCGCCAAACTCCACCAGTGTTCATATTTGGGCATATTGAGTAATCATGTAGAGTTTGGTCCAGATCCATCATTTGTTTGAATCCACAGTGATCTCTGGGTGTAGGTGAACTACAACTCCAAAACCAAAGGACACTGTCCACCAAACCTTTCCAGTATTTTCTGTTGGTCATGGGTGAACTGTGTGCCAAGTTTGGTTCAATTCCATCCTTGATGGGGTTCAGAATGCTCTTTGATTGTAGGTGAACTATAAATCCCAGCAACTACAACTCCCAAATGACAAAATCATTTTTTTAGTGAAGGACATACATTGGGTTGTTAGGTGTCTTGTGTCCAAATTTGATGTCAATTCGTCCAGTGGTTTTTGAGTTCTGTTAATCCCACAAACGAACATTACCTTTGTATTTATATAGATAATAATCTTTATTTATACCCTGCCACCATCTCCCCAACGGGGACTCGGAGCGGCTTACATGGGGCCAAGCCCGAACAACAAACTACAATATAACAATACAAATTGCAGTAAAATAAACAACATAACATTAAAATGTAAAACATCAAAACATATAAAACAATATACACAGAACAAAGAAACCAAACATAATGACAGAGAGGGGACTGCATGTACATAAAATGATTTAAAGACTCCGGGTGAGATAGGGGGGCAGGACTAAGTGTAGGGGAGAACTCATAGAGAGATAGGAAAATAAACATACTTTTGTACATGGGGGGGGGGGTTCCTGGGACAAGAACGTTGAGGGAGCACTGGCATAAAGTTATGTGGCTAAAGTTTTGGATCTTTAGAGGTATTTTTAAAATTTTGATTTAATTTACTCTAGGTTTAAACAAATTAGAAATCAGGCTAATCTGTTTTCCAGCCAGCATTTTACGGCTGTGTAGATGGGGCCTGACTCCCTCTACTCTCTTCAGTGCAGTGCTGCTTTGACCTTTTTGAATGTTTGGGCAAGAATCTGGAAGTGACAGCTCCTTGGTGCTTCCCTTCAAATGCATTTTGAGAGAGTAGTGGTGGTGGATGCATCTTTTAGGTTCTCCTGGGATGAACTAAGTTCTCACCACTCTGCCCTGAACAGCGGATGGTTCCTTCTTTGATAAAAGTTAAAGTACAGTGTTATTTCTTATCAAAAAGGAAACCTTCCCCTTCTCTTGAGTACAGTAGCAGAAGGCGTTTTTGAATGCATAGGGAAGAAAATGGCAGGAGCATCAAAGGGCGATTTGCCCCTTGAAGCAGCAATAGCACTTTCCTTTTTCTGCAGAATTGCCTTCAACTTTATTATAGGTCACATCCAATCCATATGCCCCTCCCCCCACAAAAAACCCTTCTCTTGAGTATTCATGAGGTTGACATCTATATGAGCGTATACTGTATGGTAGGTATTTCTGTTTAAAATGCCTCTCCAGAAGCCTATCTTTCTCAAGGCCAGTTTCTGGCAAATTGACTCTTCTGCATGATCTGTGACCTGAATTGGTTTATTGTCAAACTTGAGTCTGTAGAGGCACATTATGCCATGCTAACAATAAATGACCAGATGAGCTGGAAGAGATTTAAGCAATGTGTTTGATGATAGAAATCTGTCTTTTTATTTATTTTCCTTTTGAGGTTGATTCCTCAGAATCTATTGCAGAACACTTTCAAGTATACATCTTGAATGCTTTGTGCGCAAGTGGCATGAAATTAACATAAGTATTCTTATTAAATCAAAATATAATCAATACTCTAAAATAAGACTTGGTATGCCTTTTTAGGTGTAGGTATCCTGTTAAAAATACCTGCACACTTGTGGAACAATTAAAAGTAATATATTCTATAGAGTGAACTATCTGGCTGATGCTTTATGGACATTTGTAAAACTTAAAATATAAGAGGAAATTGTTACGTCCATATAAATTTATAATTAGCAGCCATACTACTGATTGAAGTTGCCTCATTCCTGAAATCCCATTAAGTGAAATATTACTTGCTTCATGAAACAGCCAATGCCTTGTCAAAGTCATTTGTCTTTAACAAAACTCCCCAAATGGAGTAGTCTTATTTGTAAAAAAAATTGCATAGCTGTGTCTGCTTCATGAATAACAAAAAAAAAAAACAAACCCTTTGCTTTAGTCATAAAATGTCATGAATGATGAAAGGATTTGCTTGTTCTCATGAATGAAGAGTTTCTTTGAGTCTTATTTTTTTTGCTATTTTGCTTTCTTGTTTAGTCTGATGTGGAAATAGAGAAAAATTACTTGGTAGCCTTCTCATTGTTAAGTTTTTCAACATTCATTCTATTTTTCTACCTCATTATTCATCCCATTCCACATTTAGGACTTTCTCGGATTTTGAAAGGCCGATTGGAAATGACAAAGAACCGAGTTGTTGACTGGGCCTTGGCAGAGTACATGGCTTTTGGGTCTTTATTGAAAGAAGGTATCCACGTGCGCTTAAGTGGACAAGATGTAGAAAGGGGTACTTTCAGGTGAGAACACTGTTCCTATTTATTTAGTTTAAAAAGTCAAACAGATTCCTCTAGATTTTGATAATTTCAGGCTTTATCAACATTTTAGATGCACTTCTTTAGAATGAGGTTTTGTTTTGTGCAACTGTTAGTGAGTTTAGCACTATGAAAAGCAAATACATTTGTATTTGCATGTGGCAGTGGGACATGTGTCTGAATGACAGTATAACTTGATTGCAAAAATTCCTGTAAGTTTGGTAAGAGAAGCAGTGATGTTTGAGGGACAGAAATTGAAGGGGTTTTCCAGCAATCTAGAACGGGATGTGCCTGCTTCATTGGCTTAAACCTGAAGATAATTGTATTTCTTACTGCTACATAAAGGTAAAGGTAAAAGTTTCCCCTTGACATTAAGTCTAGTTGTGTCTGACTCTGGGAGGTGGTGCTCATCTCAATTTCTAAGGTGAAGAGCCACCGTTGTCCATAGACATCTGCATGGAGCGCCATTACCTTCCCATCGGATTGGTATCTATTGATCTCCTCACATTTGTATGTTTTCAAAGTGCTAGGTTAACAGAAGCTGGGGCTAACAGTACTTATATTTCATTGTATATTAATGCTTATTGTGTCTTGTACAAGCTGTGGAAACAAACAAGCTTGGGATTGTTCTACTATTGTAAAAGTGGGTTAGTGTTTTGTCGATTCAAGGCAATCTGTTTTCTTTTCAGCTAACAGTGGGAGCTCACCCCACTGTTAGCTGTTTTATATTGGTCAGTATAAAAGATTGAGGATTGGGGCTTAATTTGGGAAATAAAAATCCCAAAAAACAACAAAAGCAGACAGAACACAACTTAAGGTTGAATGTGGCTTCTGTGTTTACAAGCCCCCAAAACCAAAAAGCTGTAAAGAAAGCTGGAACTTGGCCGAAAAACCCTTTTTGAAAACTCTCTCTGGCACCCACTAACTTAAAAACACTGATAAGCCCTTGACTTACTTGACGTATCTTAGGTAAGAGTGTGTTGGATTACCCGTCAGGCTTGTGTTTCTGAGGTAACACCAAGGTTTGTTCTTTAAACTCTACGGTGCTACCATTAAGCTCTTGATTACTTCAGGAATCTGTTTTGAAACTTCACCCACAGAGGCATACGTGAGGCACTTGTTGTGAACAACAAAACAATGATGTTTATTTAATAGAACAGGAACAATTCAGGTAAAAAGCTTAGCTGTTTCAAAAATACTGGCTTAAAAGCATGTGGTTACACAAAGCAGTTCAGACTTAGTTACACAGAAACTCTACTCTTTCCCTCTACAGAAAATATTGACAGGATTGCTTCTCTGACAGTAAATCTACACCAGCACAGATAATCCTACCCTGGATCTCTTCCCTACTCTTACCAGCTACTTCCCTAATAGCTGTAGAGTTCTTTCCACTAGCTAAGTCCGCTAGCCAACAGATGAATCCCAGGCCTCTTCTCACTAACCTACTAAATCTGTAACACCCTCTCCCTTTGATACCCAGGTTCAGTCTTTTAAAAACCTTTCCTTAAAGACATTTTTTTCTTTTGCCAAGTTAGGCTCTACCCACTCTAACTCAGCCAATCACAGTCTTCCCTCATTTTCCTCCAAAGCTGCTCTTTCTAAACACGCCCCCTTCAGGAAATGGGTAACTAAAATGGATTTCCCCGACCCTTTCCAAAATGGCTGCTGAACTTCCTGGGCCTACTTTTTCCTAGACTTTTCCTAGCCTAACAGGCAGGGAATTCACTACAGTCAGCAAGTTCAGCAGCTCAGCATTTTAACCCGCTGCTCCACAGGGACTCTGCCACATATTTGAACTGTATTGTTTTGTATTTTAAATGGGTTTGTTCATGTCTTTTTTAGTCATGGGGATTTTATAACATTGTTCAACGGAGAAAAGGTTGCGGGCCTGAAAATAGTTGTTCTTTTATGATTTTGGGGTGCTGAAAATGACATTTAAAAATGTATATTGGCTCTAGTTTTTATGATATAAGCAAACACGTGATCACGTATGGTTGAAAAAATGCATGTTGCGACTTACACTATGGAAGATTCTAGAATATTCTAGAAAGTTTGATGACGCAGTATTAGTGCCGTGTGCAAAAGCCAGAAAGCCCTATATAAGGCCAGACTTTTGAACGGTGAGGGTCAGTCAGTTGAAGACTGAGACAGTATCGTTAAACATCGTTTTACATTGTTCTTTTTACTGTAGTTATGCCTCGCAGGTGTGTAAATAAAGCACTATGGAAAAATATATCAAAGTAAATGGACTCCGTCAATGCTGTCAGACTACTGCTGGAGCATTGTAAGAGACAATCCTTTCCTTGAATACAAAAGAAAAGTTAAGAGAAGCAAACAGGATATAAACTAAAGTCACGATTAAAGCGACATTTAAACAATAGATTAATTAAATATTTCTCATGTATAAACTATTGCCAATATAATTTGACTAAAATTTAGTAAATATTCACGGTTTATATACATGCAGTAAGGTTAGGTGCATTATCATAATATTAACGAATTACCTATTGTGGAGAAAATTGAAATAGCTGTTGCATAAAAACCAGAGCCAATGAACACATTTAATTATTATATTTGAATTCAGCATGTTAAATTTATTAAGAAACGGCACATTTCGTTTCCACAACTCAGAAAAACTGAAAATTTGTAGAACAGTGTAATTAGCTGATACTGAATTTCACTGTTTCATATTGTAATTTGTTTTGGGAAGGCACTGCTCTGTATAAAGTGTCTAAGAAGTATATTATGTATAAGGTGAAGGTTGCTTGTCAGAATAATTTTTATGAATAGAGATCAATTAGAATTGCTGTTTTCATTATGCTTGTTTAGTTACTTGGTGTTTTTTGAAAACCTCTGACACATTATTGGTCCCTGGCTTTATGGTATTAGCTAGTTTCTATTTAGAGTTGTGAAAAATCTTGCTAAGATTCATTAGAAGAACAGAGTTTCTGTCTGCAATTTGTTCAGCTTCGCCAGGTTTGTGCCACAGAATAGCTATTATCGAAGTAATAGCCATTCTTTTTTTAGTGGTTGTAGATCTTGAACATATTGGTGTGTTTCACTCAGTTAGTCTTGCTCAGGGAGTTAATGGATTACAGTAATTACTTCAGTCATCTCTGTTTTGATAATGTTCCTTGGTGCACCATTCTAATGCTGATTAATAGAGCTCTGGAGAACTCTTCAGCAGTATGAGCATGAGAGAGGTGGGCACAAAGGAGGATTCAGCTCTTTCTGGTGTTGATCATGGACTCAAGGAGGTGGAAGCCAGTGCACACCGCATGTCTAAGGGCAATGAGTAATACAAATTTCACAGCTTAATTATAATTTGAAGGAATGCAGTCCTGTGGTGCAGTGGCTGCTCCACTTCATATTTTACGGAGTGTAACTACATACCTCTAAAAGAATAATGGATTGCACAGCAACAATTCCAAAGTCATCTGTATGGCAAGAAGAAGGCATGAAGCTATTATCGGTACTGAATATTGGATGTTTCAAGAGCTTTATTTTTTCAATGAAAAAATCCATACAGACAGAAATAGTTAATCCATCTTCTAAATGAAATGAACAGTATTCTCTTGTGTGGATACTGCTCCTACTTTAGAGAACACTAGGCATTACTTTAATCTTTTGTATGAAAAATATGATTGCTGAAGTAGTATAATCTTAAGAACGTGACTAGTAAATTACTGATCTGACCTGACAGTAGTCATGATTTCATATGTCTCTAGGCCTCAACCCTCTACCTCTAAATTTGCAGTTCAACGAGATCTTGCTTGCCTAGTTGTTATTATCTAGCTTGCCTAGTTGTTATTACAGCAGCTGATACAAAGTACTCTATTCTAATTTTTTAAATATGTGCTGCTGTTACCTTTTTAAAAAAGTTGTATGAAACAATACTTTTATCTTTAAAATCTTTAATAATAATAACATAATTTATCTTTAAAATTATTGTAGCCATCGCCACCATGTGCTGCACGATCAAGATATAGACAAAAGGACTTGTGTTCCCATGAATCACCTCTGGGAGCAGCAAGCTCCCTACACTGTATGCAACAGCTGTCTTTCGGAATATGGGGTTTTAGGTAAGTCTGATGTGTTAAACCTTATGGTTAGATTTGGTTTTGCTGATTAGAATTGATTGCGATTTGATTTGAACATGGATTTTTTGTTTGTTATTATTATTATATTATTATTGACACAAAAGCACAGTATGTCACAGCAAACGAGATCTGTATGCTGGATTTCGTATCACAAAATCACAAGTCGAACACTTCCCAAGCGTCTAGGACTGTGTGATATGTTTTCGAATGATGCGTGCAGATCCAAGTAAGGTGGCCTTTTGCAGTTGACAGATTGTGATTTTGTTGATGTTTATTGTTTCCAAATGCCGGCTGAGATCTTTTGGCACGGCACCCAGTGCGCCAATGACCACTGGGACCACCTGTACTGGTTTATGGCAGAGCCTTTGCAGTTTGATTTTGAGGCCTTGATAGCGCTGAGTTTTTCCTGTTTTTTTCTCCTCAATGCGACTGTTACCTGGTATGGTGACATCAATAATCCAGACTTTTTCTTTTCCACAATCGTGATGTCTGGTGTATTGTGTTCTAAAACTTTGTCAGCCTGGATTCGAAAGTCTCACAGTATTTTTGCATGTTCATTTTCCACGACCTTTGCGGGTTTATGATCCCACCAATTCTTTACTGCTGGCAGGTGGTACTTGTGACATAAGTTCCAGTGAATCATCTGAGCCACAGAGTTGTGTCTTCGTTTGTAGTCCGTCTGTGCGATTTTCTTGCAACAGCCGAGGAGATGGTCCATGGTTTCATCAGCTTCCTTGCACAGTCTGCAGCATTATTATTATTATTATTACTACTACTACTACTACTACTACTACTACTACTACTATTGGTTTGCTTGTTTTAGAAACATTTTACTACACTCTTCAGCCACAAAGGCACTCAGAGCAGCTTACAAAATGTTGATTTGCGCTCCGGCTTATAATCTACACAAGATAGATACGATGCAATACATAAGACACATCGTTGCTGTGTCTCGCTGGCTGTCTCCCTCTCACTCAATGGCCAGCAGAATGGCAGCTGAAGGTGATGGATGGGGCTCTGAACAGCTGCTAGGTGAGACACATATAGCTATGTTTTGCTGGCCGTCTCCCTCTCATTCAAAAAGTGATGTCCTTCATTTAACTAAACTACACTAAACTAGAAACCTCCGAATTCTGCAGGAGGCAGAACCTGGATTTAAGGTAGATTCATTCTCTGGTGTGATGAAGGAGTCATTTAGACATTCCCTAAAATATTCTTATACTGGATTGTCTTTTTACTTTCATCTAATTTTCTGTCTTATGGTCAAGCATACAATCATCATGATAAAAGAGGGGAAATCAACCCTGAATCTCAATTTGTGCATGAATACAAAATAATTCTGTGTCATTTTGGAAATTCCCACCAATATTCCTTTGCACTCGATCTAATTAAGTAAAAAAAAATGGGTAACCCTGTATGATGGAGCTCTAAATTGCTTTTCTAACAGGTGCAGAAGCAGAAAGCTGGCACCTGTTCACAGCTGTGAGCCTGGCACTGAGTTATTGAACAACTACAGTTCCATTTTAATGCTATTCTAGCAGGACTAAATAGTCAAATGGATAAAAACCACTGCAGTCTATTCATTTAGTGTAAAATATCATTTCTTTAAACTGAAAGGCAATAAGCCATGTCCGAGTTTTGCCTAAGAAATGTATGGGGTCGCCATAAGTTGATAGGGAACTTGAAGGCACGTATACACAGGTTGGAGATACAGAATTTTTAAATCAATTTATTTTACTTTAAACTGAGTTTATTGCTCATTTTTTCATGAAGGTCTAACCCCACTGTTTGCCTCTTTTGAGCTCCTCCCTCAGAAAGATGTTCTCCCACTATCTCATCTAGGGTTTTATCCATTTTTATCCTGTGTACTTGGCCCTCCCATTGTGTTCTATTTCTTTATCTTGTTATTTTGTAACTGTTTATTTTGTTTTGCTATTTTATGTATCTTATTTTGATGTTATTTTTGCTTTGTTGTATTTTATTTTGCTGTATTGGAATTCTGGGCTTGGCCTCATGTTAGCCACCCCGAGTCCCCTTTGGGGAGATGATGGCGGGGTATAAATAAAGCTTATTATTATTATTATTATTATTATTATTATTATTATTATTATTATTATTAAGTGTGAGTGCTCTTCATACCAACATTAAAAAGCTACAGTTCCTTGTACGTTAGGTGGGAGAGCTTCCATATTGGGGTTTGGGGTTTTTTTGTCTCATCTAAGCATGGCTTCCATTGCAGACTCTTCCATTCTCTTCCTCTGTTTGGTGTCCTTGTTTCATTTCTATTCATATCCTATAGCTTGATTTTATTTTAAAAAACAGGGTCAGCATGTTGGCTAGGTTCTCTTTCCCATCTTGCATAATAAATAACTGTTTAATTTTGAAGACAGAATTAGTAGATAAGATAAGGAAGAGACAGAATATCAGAACAGAAGACCGATCAACTACTTTATTTTTAGTTCTACTTTATTATCTTGGCTAGTGCTGAGATTTTTACCTTTAGATATCAGTGTAATATCTCTTACTACTCTCCTCCTTTTGATTTGCATGATTTAATAATAATGGTTTATGATCTAGTTGAGATCTGGGTATATGTGTATTCGGATGAGCATAAGCAAGGTACTAGGGAACACTGTTGCATTGATATTACTGAAAACAGTCATGAAGCAGTTGTTTATAACAGTGTATGGAGACACTCTACATAGATCCCTACACTTTCCAAAACCATGTGTGCCAAGAATGAAATTAACATTTCATTGACATGTGTTGATTTTATTATAGACTTATGCTATCATATTGAATATTTGTTGTGGCAGGATATGTTTAGTTTTGTTCCTCAGATGGCTTTATATTTAGAATTTAATAATTATATCACCCACTTGTCTGCATTGATATATATTATGTGTGGGTGGTAGTATGCTTAATTTTCTGAATAAGACATTCATAATAAAATGAATGCTGTGTTATTTTATCACTTCTCTTATTTGTTTTTTTTAATTTTGATTTGTTTTTGTTAAATCTTGGGCTGAGGTCCCATGACTAATGAAAAATCATGTTGAATTAAGCTGCAGCTTCACTTAGGTTAATTGAAAGACTCTTGCTGTGTTTGACAGTCCTGCAATTTGCTGTCAGAGGGAGGTGGGGAGAAACAGTATGACATGAAGTGCAAGCTGGCACTGCTTCTCAACACCTCCGTGTCTGCCGGAGTGACAAATGAAAAATGGGAGAGGAAGAACTGAGGGCTGAAACTGATCACCACTTCCTCTTTATAAGAAGTGTATTTGAAGTTTTTCAAAGTTTGTTGAAGTTCCTCTACATGTGCTTTATGTCAGTTAATTATGTTTGATTTCAGCTTCCAGATGCCCTAGTCTGCATTGCAGGTGTTCATGGGTTTTGAGAAGCTATAGCCATAGGTTGAGCTATAGCCGTAAGGAGTCACCTCGGAGAGATAAGGCTGATTATACATAAAGTCTTATTATTATTTTACTGATACAAAAACACAGAATGTCACAGCAAGCGAGATATATATGCTGGATTTCGTATCACAAAACACAAGTGGAACACTGTGTGATGTATTTTCGAATGATGCATGCAGATCCAAGTAAGGTGGCCTCTTGTAGTTACAGATCGTGATTTTGTCAATGTTTATTCTTTCCAAATGCTGGCTGAGATCTTTTGGCATGGGAACCAGTGTGCCGATGACCACTGGGACCACCTGTACTAGTTTATGCCAGAGCCTTTGCAGTTCGATTTTGAGGTCCTGATAACGGCTGAGTTTTTCCTGTTGTTTTTCCTCAATGCAACTGTCACCGGTATGGCAACATCAATAACCTTGAGGTTCTGATTTGTAATAGCATTTCATAACTGTGTGGTTTTCTGGCATTGTATATTTCTGCAGCTTCTGTGATTGTTCATTTGTATTTTGATTCTGTAGCCCACTTGTCGATGGATGTCCAGAATCAGCAGCATCCACCGCGGTCCTTTTTATCCTGGGCGTGGACTGAGCCAGTATAGACTTTGTTTTGGTTTGCTTGTCCATAATGCCAATGGGTTAGGTGCTCTTAGTTCCACTCCTCAGCTGAGACCTCTCTGGCTTGGTTGGACCTGCTGGTAGTTACACTACCACCAGCACAACTCTCAGCATCCTTAAGCCCCCCACCATGACAAGGTGGCACCCATTGGGGAGGTTGTTATTGATTATTATTATTATTATTATTATTATTATTATTATTATTATATGTAACCATACATTGTAGTACTGGGCCAGCCGTTTAGAAAAAGGCAACCTCTCTTCCTGGTTTCCAGAGAAAATCTAGGCTGCAGTTTAGCCAGAATTTCACCTATAACATCTTACAACCTGTGGACATTCCTGTAGAATCTCTGATTGAGGTAGATAAAAATATAGGTAAAACCAAATTTTACTTTTTATTTCAATTTTTATTTTACTTATTTAATTTATATGCTGTGTTTCTCCCAGAATGAGACCCAGGATAGTTTCCAAAAACCAATTCTATTTCTAATCTAATGTAGCTATATGTATGTACATGTTTGAACATATAAACCATTTTCTGTATTTTGTCAGTCATATTCTCAACAGTAGAAATCATCTTTTACCTCATGTTTAAAAGTAGAATCTGTCTCAAATCTATCTAAGTATTTTTTTCCCCCTAGATTTTTGTTTAAAGACTCTTTGGAAGCATCCCTTAAACACAATAAGAAAGAATTTCAATGACTTAGATATTTTAATAGCACTACTATATTGTTTTATTAAAGTAAATTTCTTTAGGAAACGAGGAAGATAAATGTTGTAGAACACAAATGTATCTTGAAGCAACTAGAAATATTTAATTTTTTTTAAAAAAAATCAAAAGTCTGTACCTTGATTTTTTAACCTTATGGCAAGAGACAGAGAACTATGTAGAATATAAGGTTGCTCTTTACATATAGGAACTAAATAGATCTCAACATCACAAAAGCCAAGG